ACACCAGGGTGCGTAACCCAAAACTTTCAACAAAAAATACGCACCTTTTAAGTACTTTTGAAGCACTCAAAAATATTTTTGAGCACTATATACATTAACAAAATGATTTTCAAAGATTTTACATGATAATGATAAAACAACTGGCAATGTTTCTGGCAAAGAACTCTTTTTCTTGATTACATTAGCCACCATAAAAAGATCGATACATTTTTCGGGTGGAAAATGAAGCCTGAAATCGAGAATATCTTGCAAAATGCAGCAGAGTTGCACATGAGAGTGCTAGAATCTCACCGAACCCAGCTCAATAGACTAGCAAGTATTTCATCAAACACGAAAAATGATTGGCGCTTCCACACGCTATGAACCGACGGGACGCCGAAATGGATTGTGGTGGAATGAACTGTGAAAACGCTGAATAGAACAATGTGAAAAGTACGCTTTTACATAATACGTGGCAAAAACCGACATGGTTAACAAAAAATATCATTTTCAAAAAGGGAAAATTAAGCACTTTTTAAAAACACCTAATGAAAAAAGCACCTTTAAGGGCTTTTAAAAAAGGAAAATAAGCCCTTTTTAAAAAAGCTACGCACCATGAATACTTTAGTTTTTTCAAGGAAACTGGGGTACTGTATAGTTACCAAAAAGTACCTTAAACCCAAACCTACCTGGGGTTATTATTGGGTACCTAACAAAATACATAATGGGTATAAAGTTCTAAGGATACGTTCCTATTATGTTAACCCGTAAATGATTAAATGGGCACTTAGGGTCACATTATGAAAAGTCAAAAATACTTCCTGTAAGTTATTTGTTGAATATCATAGCAAAAAAAAGGGCAACAAAAATATAATAAATTTATATTGACTGCAACAGTTTCCGCACATATAATTGATATTTAAAGAAATTTTTTTTATATTTTTGAATTGGTAAAAAAAAGCATCAAATTCATTTCAAATTTTTATAAACAAGGATTAGGATATCGATTGTATTTTTGGTTATTTTTTTTCCCTTTATAAGACAATATTTATGCTTTATTAGTCATATTTTTTCTTTTTAAACAATTTTTATGAATTTTGAATCATAATTTTCATATTTCTTTTTCAAAACTAGTGTAAGTTTTACATTGAATCATGTTATTTCAAATAAATCCAATACTAAGTGCTACTGTTGAACAGAAAATTTCGAGATTTAAGAAAAACGTTTGATAATGCAATGAAATTTAAATGTTTGTTGAGATTGTAACCAAAAATTGAAAAATTTTTATCTATCTACATCATTTATTTATTAGCATATAAATTTACCCAATCACAGATTACGTGAATATTTTAATGATATTACCTCATTTTTTATTAAATTTATAAATACAAGTAAAAAAAGAAAAAAAAAAAAGAAATTATTAAATATAATTTTGAAAATTTTTATGACATTTTTTATTTTAAGGTCATTTTTGATGGTTTTAGTTTTTTTTTTTTATGTCAACATCCTAGCTTCGGTTATAAAATGCTCTTTAATTTAAAAATAGAGTTTTGAATAAAGAAAAATTACATAGTTTCATAATTTATTTTTTGGCATTTCAATTTATTCAATCACAAATTATGCTTATAATTTGATTATATTACCTTATTTCTCATAAATTTATAAATACAAGTAACAAATTACATTTTTTTATTTTACGGTAGGTTTTGATGGTTTTAGGGGCTTTTTTTTTTTGCTGTTGCTTTAGAGTTTTGAATAAAGAAAAATTACATAATTTTATAATATTTAAAAGGAAAGCTTCAAATTGCTGATTATAGATAAGGCGGCAGATTAGTAGTAAAATGTAAGCACAATCAAATAAATCTATTTCATAGGAAATTTTTTTCTCTCCAGAAAATGTCCCGATTTTAGGGAATTTTCTAAAATATATAAAAACAAAAAGAGACAATCGAGAGTTGGCAGCTATCTAACTAGTAAAAATCAATACGAAACAAAATTCTTTTATTTACAAATGTTTCAAACCTAAGATTGAAAAAATGATTGTGTCTAGTGCACAAAATATTTTTTTACCAACCTGCATATCTATCAAATGATTTCGTTGTAACACATAGTTTGTATTTTTGAACTGAACAATTCTTGTACTTNAACATTAGGAGGTTCGTCACCTGCATACATCCCACTAGTTTATTTCAAAATTGGCGAGTCACACTTCCCTAGTTTCCCTTGTAAGTGCCACTGTTGAACAGAAAATTTCGAGATTTAAGAAAAATGTTTGATAATGCAATGAAATTTAAATGTTTGTTGAGATTGTAACTAAAAATTGTTAAATTCTTATCTATCTACATCATTTATTTATTAGCATATAAATTTATTCAATCACAAATTACGCTAATATTTTGATGATACATTACCTTATTTTTCATTGAATTTATAAATACAAGTAAAAAATGAAAAAAAAAAAAAAAAGAAATTATTAAACATAATTTTGAAAATTTTTAAGACATTTTTTATTTTAAGGTCATTTTTGATGGTTTTAGAGTTTTTTTTTTTATGTCAACATCCTAGCTCCGGTTTATAAAATGCTCTTGAATTTAAAAATAGAGTTTTGAGTAAAGAAAAATTACATAATTTTACAATTTATTTTTTGGCATTTCAATTTATTCAATCACAAATTACATTTATAATTTGATTATATTACCTTATTTTTCATAAATTTATAAATACAAGTAGCAAATCAAATTTCTTTATTTTAAGGTTAATTTTGATAGTTTTAGGGGCTTTTTCTTTTGCTGTTGTTTTAGAGTTTTGAATAAAGAAAAATTACATAATTTAATAATATTTAAAAAGGAAAGCTTCAAATTGCTGACTATAAAGACAGATTGGTAGTGAAATGCAAGCATATTCAACTAACAAATCTAGAGGAATTAAATTCAAAGGAATTTTTTTCTTCAGAAAATGAATTTTAGGGAATTTTCTAAAATATATAAAAGCAAAAAAGAGACAATCGAGAGTTGGCAGCTACCTAAGTAGTAAAAATCAATACGAAACGAAATTCTTTTATTTACAAATGTTTCAAACCTAAGATTGAAAAAATTATTGTGTCTAGGGTACAAAATATTTTTTACAGACTTGCATATCTATCAAATGATTTCGTTGTAACACATAGTTTGCATTTTTAAACTAACAATTCATGTACTTATAACAAACAACAAAATTAATTTTTACAACACAATGGGACTATATACATATCAGAGTTTACATTTTTATCTTTTAAGAGGGTCCAAGACATACAAATTTTGAAAATCAAGAGCTTTGTTTCTCCCTTACAATTAATTATGTTGAAAAAATTATGTTTATATACCTGTCAATATTGGCGAAATAAAAAAACAGATTTTACTATAGTGACATTTTTCAGACTATGAGTAAAGTTTTGATACATCATGCATAAAAGAGAAATTCAAAATTGGAAATAATATGAGCACTTACATTTAATGAAGTAAAAAATATGTATATAAATCTTAATAAAAAGAAGAAATTTTAAACCATTATTTATAATTACTTAAACTATTAACACTCAACATAGTGCAGTACTGGCAATAGCACTATCTGTTGAGGAATAAGAGAAGTATTTTTGCCACCAGTGGATAATTTAAAAAAAAATAAAAAATTCGCCAATAAATATGGAGAAATGTGAGAATATAGGGGTAAACAGGAAAAAGTTGTAAAATACAGGAGTCTGTTTAAAAACTGGAGACTTGGCAGGTATGAGTTTAGTACAAAACTTTTTCAATAAAAAATTAAGTTAATATTTTTTATTCTGAATTTTCACTAGATATTCTGATTTTTCACTAGAATTATTAAAAAAATTAATGTCTTTTTAGCTTTATTAGACGAAATTATAATGAAAAAACTAAGATTTTAATCTCAGTGTTAATATGCAAGTTATGTACATACACTTATGTCTATAAATTAAGGATAATTCAGATTCACAAGAAAATCTAAACTAAACATTTCACCAGTACAATTATTCATGAACAAATGCAAATTACAGGAAGTGGCGTATAAAACAGTTTGAAGGCGGACACTAAAAAAAAAGAAGAAAAAAAAAGATATGAAATACAAATGTTTTTTTAATTAATATTTTAGTTTTTTTTTCTCGATTTACTTAACAAATAATAATGACCCATAACTAAACTTTGAATAGAATTATTCTAAGATGGTGAGATATTTTCTTATAGTATTATATTAATATAAATTTTATTTCAATGTGGTAAGTCTGTAAGTTAATAATTCTAAATTCTGCCTTCCTATCGCAATTATTAATGCATTATTTATTTGAATTAAAATAAATAAATTAAAATGAAATGATTGATTTTAAATATCCAAATTTCTCTTCATAGAGCCAAGTCTAAGATAGAGTCTATGTACTACCCCAGATAGTATGTTAAAATGACGAGGGTGTACGCGAAAATATATATAAGGAATGGTAGCAAAGAAGTAAAATTTTTAACAAGCATTCTGTGAGCTGGTCAGTGCCATAACAGCATAGTTAGGACACATGTGAATAAGTTTTTAAACGGTATAATTAGTGAAATGAGGTATAGAGGAACTTGGAATTGCCCATGGTGTCATCTTTAAGCTTTGGCAATAATTCCAAGATGATGAAAACGTCAGTAGATATTACAGTACCAGGGTTTCCAGTCAAATCTGGAAACAAAATTCCATGTGTTTTCCCTGCACGTATTTATCCACAGAATATATTGAAAGGAAAAAACACAATCAGTGTGCTCTATTATGAGCTTTATTGGGCTAAGTATACTAGTTATAATTGCGGAAAAAACTTAGAGAAAAAAGGAACAGCTGAACATACTTAAAACAAATAATGAACTAGTTTAATATAGCTGAAATATTACCGTTAAGTATCCCATAGATAGCACTTCGAGAGGTTACCAACTTACTCAAAATTTCCTGAATTTTTCCCTGTTATTTTAGGTGATTTTTAAATTCCTCGTGTTTTCCAGGTTTTCCCAGTGGAGTGGCAACCTACGAGTATGGATCACTCCTGAGTTACAACACCAAATGAAGACCAGTATTTGGCAGGGAGCACAGCATTCGAAATGTCTCATCAGTTACCTGCAGCCACAGGTACTAGTGTTTCTAGGCAAACTGTGTACAGACATTTAGGAAATATTGGTCTTTATGTTGGCAGGCCAATCATATGAACGTAAGACACAAAAAAAGCAATTTTTTTTAAAAATAAAAATGTCCTTATTTCCCTAAATATTTAAGCTAGGTTAAACTTTTGTGCAATTGTTACATATAATAACCAAAATAATTGATATAAGTTACAAATTTATTGCTACACGTTTTAGCGTAGGGCAGTGTTTCCCAAACTTATGACTTTTGTGTACCCTTTCTAAATTTTTCGTAACGCTGTGTACCACTAATAACAAAATGAATGTATTTTTTACTATAAAAAATTGCACAAAATTTAAAAGTCACACCTGACTCTTGACACCACTAATTATTAACTGATAACTGCAAAAAATAGCCAATAGAAAAATACGTAATCGTAAATTTTCACGGCTAGCTTTGTTTTTAAATAAAATTTTTTGAAGTTTTTGTTTGTTGCAAGATATTTCGCAAAAGAACGCGTACCCCTGCTAAACTGTTCCCGTACCCCTGGGGGTACGCGTACCACACTTTGGGAAACACTGGCGTAGGGTGTTTAAAAGCACTATTTTCTGTTTGTAATTTATTATTAGTCCCTAAAACCTCATTGGTAAGCATGCGAAATCGCATGATCTAAACATTTCTGAAGTTAAAATGATTCTTTAAATATTTCTTGAGACATATGAAAAAATTTTAGTATACAAGTATTTCTTCCATTATTTTGTCCATCCCCTGCACAATGTATGAGCCATAATACCAACCAACCCTTTAATATTAAATTTTTGTAACGAAGATATTTTTTATAATTGCTTCAGGAAGCAAAAATCATAGTTTTTATGAATAGTATCTTACACACACCATCTTTTATGTATTTTATCTCTTGGTTAATAGATGGGTTTTATGAATAAATCACATTTCCTGAACCTTTATTTGGTTTTATCTTTAATTTATGGACATGAGTACAGATCAGTTAGAAAATGAGGTTTTCTACCCTTAATTCCTTCCCCATGTAATATAGAAAAAATTCATTAAAATATGTAACATGGACATAAAAACATATATTTAACTTCTTGCAATTTTTCCTAACTTAAAAATAACAAATCTTAATTGTATGAATAGATAAGACTGAAAGATAACTATATGAAATTTAAACACACATATATTCATAGCTGATGACATAGATAGAAAAAAATCCAGTAGATTTTATGAAATATATATTTCATAATAATTGTTGCATAATGTACTAAACATTACCATTAGGGATTTTTATAGACATCAAAATAGATAAACTGCAATATTTTCCGCTCATGAACCGCATTAAATATGTTTGAAACGTTGTGAATGAAGTTTATTCATTATTTTAAATATTAATAGACGTTTAATTCATAAGAATAATGATTTTTTCATTAATTCAGAAAGGGAGTTCTGAATAAAGATAAACTGAACAATTTTAAACAAAACAACAACAAAAATTTATACTGATTTCTATATATGAGGTGCTTCCTTAGTAATACTTATTTAAATATTAAATCAAGCAATAATCTGTACAAAAATTCTATTTCAATAGGGATATTTTTAGGAAACTTTCTCAATTTTAGGGAGTTTCCTGAAATGTACAAAAACCAGGAGAATTTTTATAAAACCAGTAGACCAGGAGAAACTGGCAAAATCCAGTAGATTTGGCAGCAATGTATATTTTATGGTCTTCTGGAAATTTGTAAAATATTTTTAGACTATATTTTGCAATTATTTAAAAAAAAATTAACATAGGAAAAGTATGAAATAAAATTTTAGAATATTTTTTTTAAACATTCTTAGGGCTAGATATATAAATTTTAAAATAAGTCAAAAAAATTTTAACACTAGATTGCCAAAGTCATTTTGACTGCTTTTTCCTTTGCAAAAATGCACAAATAATGATGCATACATTATTTTAATTGTTAATATTTACTAATAACTGTAAATAATATTTTAAAAAAATTACATTTCTTGAGACATTAGTTATTCTTTCACAATGCGGTCATTATTACTGCTTTAGGGCAATATAGGTATATCAAGTTTCAGTCTTTCTAGTGTTAATAATGGAGAATATTCTCAGTTAAAATGAGAATTTTTAAAAATGAATCATAGTACTTTTTGTATGATTTAATAGTATAAGAAAAATACATGCATTTTTAAAAATAGTTTTAAAAAATGTGTCATGGACCCCTTTAACTTTTCTTCCTTTGTTTCAAAAGAGAAAAAAACTTTAAAAATGATATGTTAAAAACGACATATTCATAATAAATTGTGAAAAGTATGTACAAAAGATGGAAACATTTGAATATCAGCTTTCTAAAAACTTATTGATTTCTAGCAATATGTCGTCATCGGCAGCCATTGTTTCTTACTCCCCCATATCGTCACACAGAAAGTTGTCTATATCGTCCATGGAGATACTTTTTTTGCTTGATGATCCATTCTGACACAGTTCACTTTGATTTGCAGTCTGTGCAATTGAATCGTGTTTTGTTTCATAATTTTCTTCTTTCGTACCATCCTGAAAGTGATTGGTAGAAGGTGGATCATTTTGCCTGGGTTGGTGCTCCGGGCTGCTTTACTTGTGTTCTGAGAAAAAGTATTGCATTAATTAGACATATAATTCTTCAAAAGCAATGGATAAAGATTTAATCACTTAAGAGCGGGATTTTGAGTTAAATTTTTTATTTTCATCTCAGAATTTTTTCAGGGCCAAATTTTTCAACAAAAAATAAGCACATTTTAAGGACTATATATATTAACAAAATGCAAAATAATTTCTGACTAAGAACTCTTTTCTCGATTATATTAGCCATTGCAAAATGATTGAGAGATATTTCGGTTCGTTATCAGAGTGGAAAATGAAGCCTGAAATTGAGAATATCTTGGGAAATGCAGCAGAGTTGTACAGGAGAGTGCAATAATCTCACCGGACTCAGTTTAGTAGAAGCACACGCAGTATTTCATTAAACATGTTACATGATTGGTGCTTTCATACACTATGGACCACCTATTTGCCCAAATAGAATGGTGAATGAATTGCGAAAATGTTGAATATTTTAATGGCATGCTCTTGCATAATATGTGGCGAAAATCAAAAAAAATCACACTTTCTAAAAGGGAAAATTAAGCACTTTTTAAAAACGCTCAATAAAAAAAAAACTTCTTTAAGGGCTTTTAAAAAACGGATGTCGAAAATAAGCACAGGGCTGCCACTGGATGAAAACATGAAAATTAGTTGCTTTAGTCGCATCATATATAAAAAAAGCCTCCTAAATAGCCTCCAAGATATATAAAATAGTTGCCAACATTATATCCTCTAACATAATTTTAATTATTTGTGCAATAAAAGTATAAAATTCAAATAATATCCAGTTAGATACTCATATTTTATTAAAAAAAATGTACATTTATTTGTGGATTTACCAACAATATATGGATAGGGGAATGCTGAAGGAACTGCTGTAGCCAAACATCCAAAATTTGTGAACATTTTAAAAATATCTATTTTTAGTTTTATTCTTTACGAGGCATAAAGGCTTCAGATATCATATAAGAAACAATAGTTGTAATTAAAAAAAAAAGCAAGAGACTAAAAATTTTAGGCATTATAAAAAATGAAGTAGAAATAACATTTACTTTCATACATAAAGTTTTTTAACCTTATTAAGAAATAAAAATTTAGCATTCAAAATCTGCATTCTAAAAATACTTAAATAATTTTAAACAATAATATGAAAGGAAAATTATTCTATTGGCACAAATAAGTTAAAATTAAGAATTTTATGATTGATTGTTGTTGTTCATTTACGTCGCACTAGAGCTGCACAATGGGCTATTGCGGAGGGTCTGGGAAACATCCTTGAGGATGATCCGAACACATGCCATCACAATTTTGATCCTCTGCAGAGGGGATGGCACCCCCGCTTCGGTAGCCCGACGACTTGCATGCGAAGTCGAACACTTTATGGTAGCACAGTTTAACGAGGACCAATACCGCACACACTCAGTCCCTACGCAGACTAAGAATTCATGTTCTACCGCATTCTGCTCCTCACACCCCCATTCAAAATGAATTAATTGAAAAACAAGTGCAGTTTCAATACTTGACCTTGAGTCATTATTTCTGTCACTATGCTATTTAAAAGAGGAATAGCAGAAATGGGAGGATTTTTAAAAAATAAGAAAAATAGGATATAACAGGGAGGGAGGAAGAGTGCCGAAATAATAGAAAAAGTAGGGAAAATATGCAGTCCCCGTAAACTTCAATATTCCAAATCAAACCGAACATCGAAACAAACCAATCCGAAATTGCAATTAACTGCTGGACCCTTATTCTGTCACACTGCCAGGGGTGATTGTGAGCCCAAGTCGAAATTCCGGAAAATTTTTTGAGTTAAAAAAAAAGTTTAAATTAAAAAATTAGAAAAAAATTTAAACCAGGTATTTTTAATTTTTCTCAATATTTCTTAGTTTATTTAAAATATATTTAAAATTTTACACATACCTATGATAACCTGGAGAAGTAATTAAAATAACTATTTACAGATAAAACATGAATATTAATCATGAATGTAAGCTTATACAGTATCTCTCTGGCTCTCCCTTACAAACAAATCAAATAAATTGTGTTTTTAAGTTCTACCTTTGAAAATTTGATTTCCGGAAACTTCTGTGATCAATGATTTTTTTAAACGTTTGGACCTTCGATCCCCGGAAACTTCCGAATCACTGTTAGCGAAAAATCCGGAAATCCGGATTTTTTCCGGAGCACAATCAGCCCTGCACTGCGCATAAAAACAGGGAGTTTTATTTTTATCTGCTACAGAACAGGTGAATTTGAAACTCGAATTTCCTTTCTCGGCTCTAATTTGCAACTGCTTAGTTTAGACATTTGAAAAAAATATTTCAATTTAATTCATCTATCCAGTTTTTATTTTTCCTAAGTGATGCATTTCCAAATTTAATGCTTATCAAAAAAATTATGATCACAATTCAACAAAACGAATATCCCCCATGTACCTTTTTTTCGATTGTAAATCGCTCTAAAAAATGTAACTACCCATTTGGTGTAATTAAAGACAATTTTTTATTTTGCTACTTCGTTCAAATTAAAAGAGGGGAAAAACGTAATCCTTAGAGATATTACATTAGCTTCCTGAAACAGGAGGAGCATTCACGTAGTGCTAATTCTAATGGTTAAACATGTCTGTCTTGCTTTTGATATCAAACAGTGAGGAAGAATAAAGTTTGGATAAAAAGAAAGCGCATGGCAAAAAAAAAGTGGGGAAGAGGAAAACTCATGAAGCTATTCTAAATTTTAGTAGCTAATTGGCTTAAAAAACTCGCCGATTTTACTCTACTCATTGCAAATTAGTTGTTTTTACTCATATTTCTACTAAAATAGTCGTCCTAGTTGCTATTGCTTTAAAATAGTCGCTTTAGTCGCCAATGGCAGCCCTGTATATATATAAAAAAATTCATTTCGCAAAATCTAGTTGTAAGCGATAGGGTCATGGAGGTTCACAATTTCGTGGCCAACGGCTTGAATGCGGTCAGCACTGCCCATCGATCTGAAACTGGGTGAGAACTCGTCACTGAGGATTGAACCTCAGTTTTTTAGAATGACAGTTCAGTGCCTTAACTACTGAGTCATCGCGGCCTACGTAGGATAATGTCACAGAAAATTTTATGTTAAGTTTTTTCTTCTTGGTCAACTTCTGAAGGATTTAGAAGAGCATTCAATAACACTTTAAGACAAAGGAGAGGTTTTATGTGTGTGTTGCAAATGAATGCAGCAGTGTAATGTATGATTAAAGCGAATGAATTTTATTGTATGAAGTATGTCTTACAGATTGAGAGAATATCAACTGTTTTGGTGGAGACTCCAAATATTCTTCTCCCCCATAAGTATCAACGGGCTGCCACAGGAAAAATACCCCAAAAAAGTTGCTTAAGTAGCATAAAATTTTTAAAAAAGTAGCAAAAAAAGTAGCCTGTAAGCTAAAAAAAAGTCGCAAAGAAGTAGTATAATAAAAATTTACATTAGGTAATAATACAATAGGTAGGCATGAATAAGTAACAAGCCTGAAAAAGATAGATATGAATAAACAAAAATCAAATAAACAAATTATCTAGACTATTTATTAAAAACAAATACAATTTTTAAAAAATAATATACAATTTATGCTTTTGGCTTTTTATTGAAGAAAGATTCTATTAAATTAGATTTTCTCTTGTTGACAACCCTATTTAGCCTATTTTCTTCTTGCTCACACTCTCTCTCTTTTTCTTTCAATTTGAGACTACCTTCTATCATACCCTGTGCTATCCGAATGCTCTCAATATTTTTATCATCAATTGCCAGTTTCAACCTCTTATTTGCCTCTTTAAAAAGTTCATCAGCTGATTTTCCAATTTCCTTTCGTTCTCGGTTGACTATCTTTGCTTTCTCTTCCAATTTTTTGACTGACCCTTTTAAATTTAACAAATTTTCTTCCTGCTTTTTCTTTTCTTTAAGATTTTCTTCATTTTCTCTTTCTACTCTCAGCTCTTCTTCTTTCTTCTTTTTCTGATCATCAAGATAAAGTTGATACGATTTACGAGCACCATAAGCGAAGTTTAAAAGTTCTTTAGTTATTGGTATTTCCGAAACCTTAGAATGAAGTTTAATGGAATCTCTGATAAGTAATCGGTCATTCAGAACTCTCTCTGACATTGAAGATTTATCTTCAGATAAAATTCTACGGGACACTGAAAATCCTCTCTCTACCTCACTGTTTCCATGAGATAGCGATAAACAAACTTTAATAAGTTTACTTAAAGATGGATATTTTAAGTGCCCCAAATCTGTTCTTTTATATATGATATTCCGCCAAAAATGATCAATTCTTATATTACAACTGAGAGAACTAAAGTCACTTTCTGTTTGTAAGATCCTCCACTCATCTTTCACATCAACTTCCTTTACATCAATAAATGCAAAGCTTCTTGCGATTTTGCCTATAGCAGAGACACTTTTTTCAAGAGCTATGCGCCCAATAGATAAACAACGTAAATCTGTCAGCAAACTGTCTCTTTTAGAAATATTATTCCATATATAGTTATAAGAACACATATAATGCCTTTGAATCTTTCGATATACATCTAATTTGTCATTTTCACGCAACTTATTGATTTCTTTTCTTGTCAATTCATCACAATCCAAGGAAGTTTCCTTTCTTAAATTCTCAATAGCAATAGTTCCATTTATTTCTACATTAGGTTTACAAATACGACCGGAAATCTTCTTTAACAAAATTTTAATTTCAGTATCCAATACATGTATTAACGGTTCAGACTTCTGAAAATTTTCCAAAAAAGAACCATATAATTTTGAACTTTCTACGATGAAATTTAACTCAGCTTTTATGTCCGCAATTCTTATTGCTTTCATTATTCTTTTGTATTTTTCAGTTTGAGTAATTCTCTTCTCCTTCTCGGGTAGATATACAGAAAAATATTCAACTACTGCCAACCACTGTTCAAGAAATCTCTCAGTTGCTGGTCCAAGAGTCAACCAACGGTTCAAAACATGCTTTAGAAATTTTAAGCGTGAAACATCTTTTTTTACTTGAATTTTTTCATAGTCCTCCCATCTAGATGGGAATTTTTTGAAGAAATTATATATGTCGGTCAATAACTCACTGGCACAATCTCCATATTCCTCTAATCCTTTTAAAAAGGCATTATGTATTAGATGTATGCTACAAGTACCAATGTCAACCAATCCATGCTTTCTTTCATCGATTAGTTTGTCATTTAATAGTCGCCAAACTTTTTGATTTACACGAGGTCCATCAGAACCCAACATCAATAATCTATTAAGCGGCAAATTTGCATTGTTGAGGACATTCTCCAATTCCCTCACAATGTCATCAGCTGCAGCATGGCCTATAAAAACTGTTTGCAAATGTCGGCACACAACTTCTTTACATTGTTCAGACCAATACATAATTTGAAACTGAAGTTCCTTCTTTCCTGCATTATTCGTAGTTTCATCAAACAACAGGGTGAAGAAAGATTTGTCGATATCAATGCTAAGTTGTTTTTTAAAATATGGACCTAGCGCTTCTGTTATCAAATAACTCAGCTTTGTTCTTCCCAATTGGAAAGTCTCAGCAATCGAACCAGGAAACATTGCACTGAATATGTCTTTCAAATCATCAGATGTACCTGCAGCCATATTGCACTGAATAGACTTCATAGCCCATATGAGCTCTGCTTTTGTTATTGCTTCCCGATCAGAAACTAGTTCAAGATTAGGCTGTTCATTGCTCAAAATACTTTCGCTTATTTTTTCAGAGTTCACTTTAAATTTACATTGAGTAGGATCAAGTTTCGTTGAAGCATTAACTTTGTGGACCTCTCTCTTCACATGCTGTGTAATTGCTGCAAATCCTTTTGCCTCACAACCGATTTTTTTCTCACAAACGTTGCAAAATGCTTCTCTATCGTTTAATTTCTTACACCAAGCAGATATTACATATCCTAAATCATCTGTTTTTTGGAACCATGCTGAAAGCACTTTGTATTTTTTTGGCATTGCTAGAATGAACAAAAAATAAAGTTTGTAAGATTCTTGGAATTACATACCTATACTAACAATACAATACTTAGAATAACCTATACTAACAATAAAATAAAGAACTTTACTGCGCTATATTATTTTTTTCTTAATTACAGCTAGGAAACATGGTTTGAAGGTTGGCACAGAAGGAAAAAAAATGATAGAATTATGAAGAGGAAACTAATAAATAATCACACGCAGTAAAACACTTCTTTTAAAACGCGGAACAGTTGTTGAGTTATGAATTATAAACGATGTTTCTCAAAGGCATTACATTTGTTCATGTCACAGTTTTATTTTTATTTATATTTTAATTGTTCTTCTGGGACCTTTAGCTGAAAATGATGCACATTCACTTTAATCGAGATTGATACAGAGTTTATATTGGAAATACAGGAATTGATTCTGATAATCTATTTGAAGTTTTCCTATCTTTCTTTTTTTTACAGTATTCATTCTTTAAAATTAGTAAAAAAAAATTAAGCCGATATATATATATATATTTTTCCTTTTTACAAAAACGAGGTCCATCAATGAAGAATTTAAAGTAACTATTCTGAAAACAAATTCATTGAGACAATAACAGCGAGTACGGGAGATGTTTCTCCCGTACTCGCTGTTAGACCCCCCCCCCCTCCGTGCACCTTCTCTTTCCATTATATACAAAGAAAGCGTATTTCGTTTTGTGAAGAATGACTGTATTTTTCTATAGCAAAATGTAAATACTGCTAAAAAACATAATAAAATTTAATATCATGATCAGGACTGAGCGAGGTAAGAAATTTTAGATCGTAATACATCGTCTGTAAGACATCGCGATTTAACATATGTTCAAAAATTATCTATCATAAATCTGTAAATGCATCAAAAATAAATAAAAGGAATAAATCTATTACAATGGAAAATGTTAATTCTAGAAAAATGATTCTATAACATCAATAGCATTGCTTAATTTTTAAAATTGAAATAATGAAGATGTCTTAAAGTAAAAACAAACCCAAGCTTTATATATATTTTTTTTTAAAATTACAAATGATTTAAGATTTATTGGTTTAAAAATAATAATAAAACTGTAACAAAATATTCTTCATACATGCATTAAAAATTAAAAGGAAGAAAACCGAAAGTAAAAAACATACCAAAGAAATGTTCCCTTTTGTAAAACATTTTTTAATTCATTTGAAGAAAAAAAATGTGCTTTTGAAACATTGTTACACCTTCTATAATTTAAAATTATAAAGTTATATTAACTAATGGTCAAATTCTATACTTAATAAATGTAAAAATAAATTTAAGTTTTTTTATTCATTTATTATTATTTTCTTTTTTTGAAAATAAAATCGTCTAGAGATCTATTTGTTTAAAAATGACACTGACTATCTAACAAATTATGAAACAAACAAGTATTGAAAGAATTTTTAAGAAAAATAAAAATACTCTAAGTACCATTGTTAAATTATTAAACAGAGTCAAAACGTTTCGTAACTTTCCATTTAATCCAAAAAAAAATAAAAAAAATATTTATTTTAACTAGAAACCAAATTTTATTTTTTTTTAAAAAATAAAGCAAAATTTGTTTAAATTTTATTTAAAAAAAAAATAAAGCAAAATTTTTAAATTTTTTTTTAAAAAAAAAAGCAAATGAAATAAATGTAGACCTTGTTTTAATTTTTTTATAATTAGAAACGACTAAAGATTTATTGGTTTAATAATCACATTAGTATACTTACGCGCATTAAATAAATTAGAAAAAAAAANAATCTTAACTTGTTAGTATAAAAAAAATACTATATTTTACAGTATGTCAAACATTAACATCCTTTGTTAAAAAGCAGAATAAAATCATATAATTAAATTATATAAGATACAAACCTTTTTCAATGTTCAGCACGAAAATTTAAGACAACAGCGATTGCGCAAGGATCGCAGCAGGTTTTGTAATTGACAGAAATCGTTGAATCCCGACAGACCAAAAAAATAAATAAATAAAGTTAACGAAATAATGCACAACGAAACGATAGCTAAATAGCAAAAATGCACAACGATCGCAAAATAACTAAGTCCCGCTGAAAATAATCTTCAAGAAACGTACAATCCCAAAGACAAAAATGGAGCATAAAATTCAATTTGTCATTCAACATCAACATAACGAAACTAACATCGCCTTTGTAGCTTGACGCTATCAACATCTCCGCAGGTAGACGAAATCAAAATTGTCTTCGTCAGCGCGGTGACAGTGTTAGCGTAGGCAAGAATCCTCGTTAAACTGCGAACGTTGTCTTATACCGGCGCCTTAAATCAGATTTCTGATGCATCGCCGAAAACGAAAGTCACTATCTGTTGCTTAAATCAAATTTCTGATGCATCGCCTAAAACTAAAGTCATTATAACGGCCTGCCGATTTATGTGCTAAATCGATATTTCGCGATACATCAATTTATCGCCCAGTCCTAATCATGATTACATTAGGTTGCAAAAAAAAAATATATATATATATCATGGAAATTATTAAAACAAAAACTAAACCGCCTTTCTCCAAGGACTGTGGATGGAGCACCAATGAAATATTTTACTCACAGGATCGTTTTCACCTAGATGCAAACGCTAAAAATTTTATCTTAAATTCGGGGATATTTCTTCAAAAATAATTTAAATTTGTTTAAGCGAAAAATAAAAAGTTAATTAAGTCATTTAAAAATTGTACGATTTCTTTTAGAAAAAGCGCTTTAAAGATGCCACAGCAAAAATTTTAAACTGTAGGAAATTGTTAAAACTCAAATTTAGATTTGTCAAATAAATTAAACTTTTGTTGATTTATGAAAGTAGTTTGATTAGGATTTAGCTGCATATTACATTTCAGTTTAATATAATGGAAATTATTTAAAAAAATATCGATAAATCGTTAAAACATAAAATTTAATTAATAAGTAACACTGATAATAATTAATGAAAAATTATTTTAAAACATAATTTTTAAAGTAGATTATGTTTACTAATTAAAAAATGGTTACCATTAAACTAACCAATGTAACCTAACGGCAGATGCACGTGCAAGTTCTTGTTATAGAAGTATGTTACTGGAAATTTCGATCTCAAATATATATATTTTAGATTAATTTTAAAAATATTTTACTACTGATATAATGCAAAATGTTTAAATTAGAATACACACACCCCCTAAACACATCGATCGTATTCCCTTTTTAACCGAACCAATTTTTGAATAATTTGAACGGCATCATTGAAAATAATTAATTAAACATAAAAATAATAATAAATTAAAATGTACTTACCAAATAAAATGAATTAGCTTCCTCTGCAAAAATATTTTCCAGATGACCATACGTTAGCTAGCCTGACAATGATAAAGAATCTAGGAAAAGATGGCACACTGGCACGTGCGAAATTCGATATGCATCTAGTAAAAGCTGTAAAACTTCTAAGCAATCTCCAGTTACAAGGGTCAGGTCACTCACAAATTACTTCGAATAGGGGTGTGCTATTTTCCGTCTTTCTGTCTAAAGCAGGATGAGTTGATGGATGATGTTGTATATTGAATGAATGCAGTAAAGAAAGAGGGGAGGGGGATTCGCGGAACGGAGACAGAAAATGTGAAGCATGGAGGGATCATGAAAACACCTGTTGCAATTGGCGAGATCGCTAGAAATATTGGGGGGGGAAAGAAATTATCCATTTTGGAAAAAAAAGCAACCGCAAGAAGAAAAAGTCTCCAAAAAAGTATCAGTTGTCAAAAAAAGTCGCTTATTAGCCTCTTTTTAGTTAAAAAAGTCGCTAAAGTCGCCTAGTGTCAAAAAAAGTAGCAAAAAGTCGCCTTTAAGTCTCCTTGTGGCAGCCCTGTATACTGTAACCAATTTCTTAAAAACACTTTTAATAAACGTTGGGGGAAAAAAGTATGTTTATTCAGAAAAAGTACGTTTTTTGTGTCTGCTTTCATAACTGATAACTCTGCCTGCCTAAATTAATTAGCATGTTTGAGTTCTAGAACAGGAAGTTAAAAGTTATTCAGGGTGATCTGTTAATTCTTTTGCGCACTTTACAGTAAATTTATTAACTAATAATGTGGATGAAAAATATAAAATTAAGTAAGAATTTACAGCAAGTATATTAAGTGAATTTAATATAATATCACTAATAAAGCAAAAGGGCTGAAAATATGGCATTTGAAAATTTTCAATCTTTCATGTAATAATGTAATTCATGTAATAACTAAGCTTTAATCAGAAAAAAAAATTATTCTAATTCAAAAAATTATTAATATAATTATAAGAGACATGGATAGCAAACTTTGCCACAGAATGTGCAGCTGAATTGTCGAAATTTCACTAAATTTATAAATGACATCTTGACCTAATCATAATCTAAATTACATTTTTAAAAATAAGTTTTAATTTACCAGTTATATACAGTTTCAAAAACACAGTTCGATAAATTTTCTCAAGTGTAGTTTTCATAGTAAGGCCTTTTAACTTTGAAATTTTAAATAGGGATTGTGAGACTTGAGATACAAAACTAATTTACAAATGTACTAACTTTTAGGAAAACTGCTGGAAAAAATAGGCTTTAGTGGCCACAACAAAATACATAAGGTACATAATAAGTTGATTTTAGATTGCAACAGTTAATTTAGTTTTTGTAAGAACAATATCAAGTGCCTTAAAAATTAGAACACTAAGCAAAATCAATTCAATCTATGACACTTCATGTCAACATATAAAGAAAAAAAATTAAAAGGCTCATGTTTAGATGCTTTTAATCTTAACTTGTTAGTATAAAAAAAATACTATATTTTACAGTATGTCAAACATTAACATCCTTTGTTAAAAAGCAGAATAAAATCATATAATTAAATTATATAAGATACAAACCTTTTTCAATTTCTTTACTTTCTCTGCTTCAGAATCACCTTCGCTGCTCGAAGAATAGTGCTTCTTTTTTTTCTTCTTATCTTTCTTGTGCTTCTTTTTCTTAATTTGATCCTTAAAAACGATTAGAGCTTTGAAACACTGTATGATATAAAAATAAGGTTTTTGAACCACAATAACATAACAAACAGGCTATTTTTATTTAGATTTTTGAATTGATTAACTGCCTAAATATTGACTACAAGTTTTGCTTATGAACTTATTATTCCTTATTTGAAAAAAAATAATTTAAAAAAGAACTAATATATTTATTGTCGCGTCAAAGATAATAAAAATGTAACTCTACAACAACTAAAAGGCTACTACAAAAGGATAGTAAATAAAACTTTCATAAAATAAAAAACTTACTGCCGAAACTGCCTATTGTTAGACAGGGGTCGCGGATGTTTAGTCTCCATTTGTAACAAACAGAATGATTGTGAGAATGTAGTTACAAGCTGTTACCAAGGATCAAATCAAAATTCTTCGTTATAGAGTTTGATATTGGTAAAGATCTTCAATATAAATAAGGACTGCAAAGTAAACCTTAAGCTCAAAAAAATTGCTTTTGATCTGGGTGAAAGCTTTTTTTTAGGAATGATTCAACGAATCATTTTTAATTCAGGAATACTCAGCCTATAAACTGCAGGCCAAAATTGATGTTTCAAATGTCTTAAATAAAAATATGAATGGAAGAAAAAGCAAAATTTTTTTTCTTCCTTTAACAGTAAATTACTGATCAAACAATTCTCAGATTGTAACCCTTTTGTTTTGACTTTACAGTACTCCGCTATCGCTGCACCTAATTTGATATAAATTTGTACAAATAAAAAAGATGAGTGGATAGGACATTATAATTTTAAAATTCCAGTTACAACCAAGAAATTAATCTGATACAGTGTTTATAATATTAGCAATGGGAATTTGTTTTCTGACTTGATTCAAAAGTTGAAAAAATCTCTTCAAGAATGTACAGAAAATCTATAATATAATTTCCCCAAAATGATTGAGAATATTGTTTCTTGGATCCACCACTCATTTTAAATACAAAACATAATTATACTTAAAACCATACAATTCAAGATGAAACAGGATTGAAACTAATCGCTTTACAATGACTTGATTCAAGTTTACGAAATATCGCTATTTGCTTGTATCTCACAATAAAAGCGCAGGTAGAATGGTAACAACAGCGCCAAAACTTCAAGTTAAGAGTCAAATTCATTTAACACATTATACAACTCTTTTGCAAACATATCCATTTGGGCTACACATTTCTCTCTTTGAATAGTTAAATATTTGGTGCAAGGGAATTTTTAAAAATTTTTTTACCAATAAATATGCGTAGATAATTTTCTTTGTAACTTTTAGTTATATTTATTTACATTAAATATTATTTTCAACCACAGCCAAGTAAAAAATTTAGTTAAAAATGTTAATAATTCATATTACTTTCAAATAAAGAATATACTTCTTTGCAACTAATGCCTAATGATACTTAATTTGGCCAAAAACACGGTATTTTCTAGTTCTTGTGTAAAAATGATTGTGCATAGCTGTTTTAATTTTTTTTCCTTCTAAATATATATATAATATATATGAGTAATATTTCCCTGAGTAACAGGGAATATGGAGAATGCTGAGATGAAGAAATTACCTCTTGAGCCAAATCTTCCGCTGGTTCTAGATTACTTGCGGCTCGTTTGGCCAACTTTTCTGTCAACAAAGATATAGATGATACCTGAAACATAGACTGCATGTTTCGAAAACATTCACAAATAAATGAAGGCTAAAAATAAAACATTTATGTACCAGCCCACTGTGGCCAGTGAATTCAGAAATTATAAAAACAATTTTTAAGGAATTATGTAATAAATTATTTCAATTTTTTATTTCTTTGTTATGTAATTAGTTTTTCTGAAATAATTACAGACCATCTTGATGATTATGAAAATTTAATATTTTGTTCAACAAAGCAATTCAAAAACTTTTAGTAATATATTACGGATGTAACAGTTATGCAAAAAATACTGTTCTTAGTTTCAAATTAATTTATAAAAGAGAGAATTATTTTATTTAGTTACAAATGTATACTATATAAACAAAAGTTCAATTATACGGATAAGATAAAATTAAGACTCACTTCTTGAAAAGCTTCTTTCCCTGCAAGTCCAGTGCAATAAGAATTCTTAATAAAAGAATGGCAACACTTGTAACCCCACTGCATATCTTGCCAATAGGATCCAAAAACAGCCTGAAAGCCATTAAAAAAATAGTTATTAAAGAATTTCAAACTTGTAATTTAAATATAATCGATCACTGTTATAGAACTTCTAGGTGTTTGTAATTATTGATTTATTTAGCCAAAAATTGACAAAAATGCAAAGCTAACTTAAAAAAGGTTTATTTAAATATTTTGTAACTCTTGGCGTAATTGGGAGTAATCAGCAAAATTAACAGCTATGCTAAATAACATGCTCCCATAAATTATCATCATGTGTTTGGTACAATATATCAAATTCCACTTTTTGTGTCAAAATATTTTTAATAAAGAGCAAAATTTTTAATTATGTAGTTTATTTTTTTGCATGTATTTAGTTTAGTTTATTAGTTAAAATAATAATAATTTTTTAAAAATTATAAAGTGAAAAAAAAAAAAAACACTTAGTGGGTACAAAGATAGGTTCTATCAAGTGGGTTCAATCTGAAAAACCTGCAATATGCCATATGTTTAGGTTAATAATTTACATAAAAACAAAAGTTTGAATGTAAATTACTTACAGTATGATTATTAACGTGAACATCTTCTTCATATTTAGATCGGATGACAGGTTTTTCGTCTCCTTTAATAACATTTCCTTGCCTTGAGTACTCCACATAGTCTTCCTAGAGAAGAAATTATGATTAAAATAACAAAATATTGGTCATTACCATAATAATGATATTCTTAAATAATAGTAATTAATAAATTCTTCATGAAAAACCTAATTTCTCAAACATAAATCTATTTGCTACAAGTTTATAACAGGCTAATGAAATTGTATTTTGCAACTTGTTATGTCTGCAACATTAAAAACATGACCAAAATAATAAAAAAATTTAAAAATTCTGAAATAAAAAAAAACTTTTTAATTAAAGCATATTTATACAACATAGTAAATAAACTAAATTTATTTTTTAAGAAAATACATTCGTTAACTGCTTTGTTGCAATAAAATTTTAAAAACACATTAAAAAGCAAGCATGTCCTCTTATAAACATATTTAAATACTAAAAGTAAAAATGCAATGTTTTTATTCTTTAACTATGCAAACAAAATACATGTCTTAAAATACCATTTTTAATTACAAGTATTAATGCTACAATGGCAAAAAAAAAATTTTTTTTTTTTTCATTTGTCATGTCTGCAACTATTAAATTAAATTTTTTCACATTTCATGCTATTTAAAGAATTTACATTCTTATTTTAATAAAACAAACTTAATATTTATAAAATGTATTTAATTACCGTTAATTTGATATGAGATACATAGATATATTTTTTAATGCATTAGTGCAAAATCATCCTATAGAGAAACGGTAAATAGGAAAGAATATTTAAAATCACTCTTTAACAGAGATGACAACTTGCTCCGGACAGCAAATAAATATTTTAAAGTGGTAATTTATCAATTGTGATTCTCGTTTTAATAAATTAAATTTAGTACTTTACCATAATTAAGTAGTTTACCATAGTTAAATTAGTACTTTACCATAATANAAAATCATCCTATAGAGAAACGGTAAATAGGAAAGAATATTTAAAATCACTCTTTAACAGAGATGACAACTTGCTCCGGACAGCAAATAAATATTTTAAAGTGGTAGTTTATCAATTGTGATTCTCGTTTTAATAAATTAAATTTAGTATATTTTAATCCAGCACTATTTCTAAATAATTCATAGGCTTATATAATTTACCACTTTACCATAATTAAAGTCTGCTATACCTTTAAGAAAGCAAGCAAAAATAGTAAAATATTTGCAAAATCCTAGTTTGTTGTTACTTACCGCTTTTTTAAATCAATTTGGCATGTCCGGAGCAGTTGGCATCTTTGCTTTAATAGTAAAATACAGTAGGGAACCGATTATCCGGAACGATCGGGTCCGTCGCTATTCCGGATAACTGATTTTTCCGGTTTTCTGAATAGCTACAAAAAGTCGCTTTTTTTTATTGTTAAACCCAACTAAAAATTTTTTAAAAAATCGGAAATGATCTTAAAAAGAAGAAAAAACGATGAAGTAATACACTAATGATTATTTCCAAAATGATGGTAAGGTAAACATCTTTCAAAAAAGAAAGGAAAATCCTAAAATATTATGAGGAGGGGGAAAAAAAAGGAGTGGGGGGGATTTATCGAATTTTGTTCCGGTTTTTTGATTTTCCGAATTCCGGATAACGGGTTCTGTATTGCATAAGTTTCATAATTTTTTATCTAAGCATAAAAGCAATTTACTAAAAATTTATCTTAATGAGTAACTTAAAGTAATTAATTTTGAACAGAAAAAAATCAAGCGAGGTCTTATTTAATTAAGATATTTTCTTAACACTTCATTTACACAAGAACTGAAAACAAGTATGTTTCATTTTCAAAATTGGATTGACTGCTTGTCAACTGTTATAAAAAAAAAATTAAAAAATGGGTTGAAGTTGGAAAAACTATTTTGATGTCATTAAATACATTGTTTGAAAATAGTTCAAAATATAATTCATATTTCTTCAGGTAGTTGACGGTTTACAACACTTTTCAGACACCCTGTACATGTTTAGTAGAGTATTTCTTACAGATTGAGAGAATATCAACTGTTTCGGGAGAGCTTCCAAATACTCTTCTCCCCCATAAGTATCAATAATGCTTTTCTTAATGTTGTCCTTCACTTCTCCCTTCTTGACTTTGAATTCTTGATGAAGAAGTTCTGCTTTTGTGGGCTCTGCCAGTAAGTTCACCTCTACACCCTTTTCATAGGCTTGCCAGGCAAAAGCTGTGAAATAAATATTCCTTATTAATTTATATCAATTAACACCACTTACATTAGAGATTTACATAAGATCAGTTCGGGTGACCGCCTGGAGGCCCGGAATAAATAGGATTACTTAAAGCCCAAACCCAAAATACAGTAAAACTTTGCTACAACAGTATTTGAGGGACCAAATAAATATATTGTTGTAGAGGGATATATTNCAAATGATTATTAAATTAGATGAATGATGATGATTAAATAAATTAGATGATTAGATAATTAAATTAGAATTAACAATTGATTTTACTTAATATGTAGTATACCATACTACAGGGATATATTATTATATCTAAGGCATACATACTTTAGGGACAAAATAAGATTTTTTTTAATTATAATGTTATATATGTATTTACTATGAATCTATTTAAGTATTATATAAATATTTAATTAGCTGAGTGTTAATTATGGTTTAATATGAAATGAGTGACTTTTTGAGAGACAAGGGAGGCAATTCTAAAAATGGAAGGTCTTGGGGTGGTCTATGTCAAGGATGGGATATTGAAATCTGAATACAAAAGCCATTCACTGCGGTGAAAAGAAATAAGATAAGCACATAATCAGCAGTGAGTATTCTCTTCTCAGAAAAGATTGGAGGAAAAAAAGAGGCAAAATATGATAAAATAAGATTTTTTACATTATTTGTAAACCAATAATAATAAATAAGGATGAAATTTGGAAAAAAAATTGTTTTACAGGGGTTCATTGCTTCAGATAATATCGCAATATCGAGAGGAGGATAACATTAATTCATATGCAAGTTTGTCGGGATCACAAAACATTATTGTAATAGAGGGAGTTATTGTTTTGCATATCATAGCAGCGAGAGTTCAGTGCATATGTTGGATAAAAGCCAAATTTTGGGGTCTCACCACTCGGCCTTTTATGCCTAAACAAGAAAATTGGTCACTAAAACTTTCTTATCAAAATTGATTAATAAATTTTACGCTTTTTAAGCTTGATACCTGAACCAAATATTTTTTCAAAAGTAGTAAGAAAGTTTATGAAAATTTTATTGTGAGTACAAGTTTACCCGAAACCTTTTTTCAGCAAAGGAGCTCGAGTCTGTGTCAAGCCGGGTTTGAGCCCGAGCCCATCTCAAACACATAACCTACAATCCTATAATGTCCCCACATGGTCAAGTGGGACTCCAACCTTCTAGTCAAAAGAAAAAGGATTTCTTTCTAATGTGACAAATTTTGATACCATGAACTTTTTAATATCACAAAAAAATTAAATTCCTTTAGAGGTATTTGTTATACAGTGTTAGGGACCTTGATATTACAAATAGGTATCTGGATTCTTTATATAATGAATTTTGATTTTATGCACTTTTCAATAGCACACACACACACAAAAAAAACCTATGCATTTGTTATGTAGCTAGGAGTAAAAAAATCATTTTATATGAATCTCGATTTCACAACATAACGTTGATGATCATAAATTTTATTTACTGATTTCTGAAGAATTTAAAATGTTTTTCTGAATTTTAGGAAAGTTCTATTAATTTAATAAATTTAAAAGAAACTGGTACTTATGTAGTTACCCTAGACCAGGGGTCGGCAACCTTTTGAAATGAAAGAGCCAAAAGTTACAATTTTACAAAATTTCCCTGCTTTTAAAGAACCACTAAAAATTTTTGATTTAATACTACAGAATTTCTTTATGTATATATTTGATTTTTAATTTAAAAAACGGTTTTGAATAGAGAATAATTTTTTTTTTTTTTTAAATACGTTAATAATTTTTTTCAAATTTAGTTTTCTTTTAATTTTAAATTTTTTTGGGGGGGAAGGGGATAAAAATACTTAGGTCATTAAAATTCGATGAAAATTGTAAATTTTCTTACTAAATTCTTGTCAAATTTTCAACAGGAAACACGAATTTTTTTTTATTGAATATGCAACGAAACACAATCTTATCAGATAGATTTTATAATAATTCTTTTTAATTTTTCATAGCAATTCCGCAATAATTTTCATTTATATTATATAGTTGATATTTATTCAATATTATATCAGAATTTTTTCACTATTTTCCTTATTTAAGAAATGTGTACCGTCTATTCTTGTTATTGTTAAAAACAATTTTTAAGCACTTAATTATTAAACATTTAAATAAATTTTACATTTTTTTGTCAAAGCAAACGTTAAATCAACTTATAATGAAGTGCTAGAAATGATGACCACATACTTTTTATATTTGTTGTAAATATAATATAGTCATTATTTTGACTAAATAGTTTAAAAAAATTACATTCGATTAAAATATTCAGGTGTTATACATATATATATGCTTGATATCATGAAGTTTTTAGTATCTCTTATTAAATTCATAATATTGAGAAATGACTGTATATGTATATAAAAACATTACTTGAATTACAAAAATCTACAACTTTTGGTCAAACTCTTATTCTACTTCAAAAATATATTTTTTAGAAAAAACAAATAAATAATAACTATGATGCTGAAACAATTCAAGTGTAAAAAAAACAATAACTTTTGCCCTTTGATAAAAATATTTTTTGAACAAAAATATTTCTAATATAATAGTACATTTAGGATTGAAGTTCATAAGCTGCAAAATAAAGCAAGTTATGTAGTCATTAAAAAAAATAAAAAAAAAAAGCATGAAATTATTATCTTAAGAAAGAAAATAAAAATTGTCACAATTAATCTTATTAAAAACATTATTTTTATAACATGTGCAAAACTTATTTTTTCTATTTTGATTATGATATAAGCCGATAAGTTTGAGTGATTTTTGGTCGAATAGACAAACGAAGGTCGAAATGAAACAAAGTTGGAATCATTGAAATCAAGGTTTAATGTTTTCTAAATTTTGATAATTTAGAAACTATTTTAATCAAATTTGTTCCAATTTCGTATTTTATCATTTAAATATTAACATTATTTAAAATGATGTAAAAGTTTGTATACTTTATAAATAGATTATTAAATTATAAAAAATTATTCAAAATGTTTTGTTACATGAAGTTATCATAGGGTTATTAAGTTTTATAATTGCGTAAAAAATGTTTTGTTTCACTAGTTTCAGAAATATAGCAATTAATGAACTTATCATCAAAAAATTCCAAGCTTTAAACAGCTTCTAAAGACTAAACTATTGGGACCATATTTTCAGATATCACTTATATTTTTAAAAACAAAAATTACAATTTGTCAGGGAAAAAAAAGGAATGTTTATTGAGAGAAAGTGGGTTTTTGTGCCTGATTTTTTAAAATTTGAAATAGCACTCTGTGCTAACAAACTGACATACTTAAAAATTAACAGCTTAAGCCAGTGTTTCCCAAACTTATGACTTATGTGTACCCTTTCTAAATTTTCCGTAACGCTGTGTACCACTAATACAAAAAAAATGAATGTATTTATTACTATAAAAAATTCCACTAAAGTTAAAAATCAAAACTGACTGTTGACACCACCAATTATTATCTGTTAACTCTGCAAAAAATAGCCAACTGAAAAATACGTAATCGTAAACTTTCATTTCTAGCTCTGTTTTTAAATCAAATTTTTTGAAATTTTCGCTTGTTACAAAATATTTCGCATAAGAACCAAACCCCCAATAAACTGTTCCCGTACCCCTTGTGGTACGCGTACCACACTTTCGGAAATACTGGCTTAAGCCATTAAGATTGAGCTCTAGTATGTGATAATTAAATCATTGGATCAAAAGTTATTCCTGGTGTTGTCTATTTGAGCCTTATGCATAACAATTAGTTTTATACATAACTATCAGTTTTTAAGACCATTGATTAGAAAAAGTTTAAAGAGTTATTTTGCATAAAAGAAAAATTGAGAGCTAATAGATAAATTTATACCTACATTGTGTCTGACTATGCTTTGAAGTATCTCCTGTATAACGAACTAAGTTATCACCAGCATAAGCTAACCTAATAAATCAAGAACATATTTTTAGTCACTTATTTTATCATATGAATAATAAAGAAACAATGGGAAAAGAAAATAAACATCATAATTATTTTTAAAAAAATGGTTTAGATGCATTGGATTAAATCATGAAAAAATCTCAAAATTTAGTTAAAAAATTAATTTAAGTTCTCACAATTGTTTGAACTCATATCATTATGAGACAGAATGTCTAGATTAGTATTTACAGGTCAATGCTTTTCATAATTATGATAAAAAGAGATTTTCATATCGGTTTCAATAATAATAAAAGTTAAATTAGAAAATTCTAAAAGCTGACAAATAAACTACACAGATTAAAATGGTGTCATATTTTGCATACCTTGAAATTCAAATTTTTTTAAACACATTATTGAAATAAACAATAATAAATAATTATTTTTTTATTCACTTTGTTAGCTTGTTTTGATATCCGCTGAGTATCTGCTACATTTTAGATTTTCAAATCCATGACTAATTCTAAGAATTTGTTATGACTCAACAAAGTTACTATTTTCTCCCACAAACAAACAATAAATTTAAAAAAGCATTATAATAACATCAATGGAAACGAAACGTATAACCAAAACTGTTATACTCTGCATCTTCATATTTATTTTAAATTTAAAAAACAGAGTAAAGAAAGAGTTGAAGCAATAAAATAGCTGGGGAAAATATACAAAAGCAAATTTTTTCCCGCTTTTTGGGGGGGAATTACATTCTAAACATACTTTTCTAGTTCATCGGAAAGGAAAAAAATACTTCTGATTTTTCTGTACTTATTTTGAAATAAGAAAAATTCGACAATGACTGTTTTGCTTCAGCTAGAATTTTAAATTGAGAAAATAAAAAGTAACAACTCTCAAATGACAGAAGTTTAAAAGATAATTCACTCTAGATGATGTTTTTTCCTTCATCTTCTGAAAGAGCACCATAGTTTTTAAAGAACATGAATAAACATTTTATATTTTATTAAGTATGACTCTGAGTAGGGATTTCGTTAAAAATTCAGATATTCGGAACACCTTGAAATTTTCCATTTTAAATATTAGAATTTTGACAACCTAAATCTATAATTTTTTTTAAAAAAAAAAGTAAAAATCATGACATTTCAAAACAAATTTTGTTACATACTGAAAATTCATGACTTTCCAGGTGTGCAGATACCCTGAATAGAATTTAAACAAAAACATTGTTTAGAAGAAATCTATAAAAAAATAAATAAAAAAAAAAGCTTATCTTACTCTGTAGCATCTTTTCTAGTGTTTTTGTAAGGATTCTCTCTCATCGCTCTCGTCTTGGGATCATAATATGCAGAGTTAGGATCTAGATTTCGGAGATACTGAAAAACAACAAAAACTTAGTATTTTTAGCGTAAGAAATCGTAGAAATAATTTTTTTAAAAAAATTACGATTTTGTAGTTACTTTAGCAGTATCTTCTCGAATTCTAAGATTTCTGACCGTAATTCTTTGTTTGCTGTCTACTTTCGTACCTGGCATATCAGCATTGCCTGTATACTTCTCCTCATCATCATCTATATCAATTTTTCTTATCTACAAAAATAAGAAAAAATTATCAGCAAAAAAACTTCGTAAAATATGAAAAACCATTTTTTCAGTACTGATTCTTGGTCGCTCTCAGAGTCATTAACATTTGTGAAAACAAAACAACTATATTTACAAATTAGAAATTATATTTCGTTCTTATTAATGAAAAACAAAAATTATCATATTAATATTAATAAAATACTGCATATATTACATGAGTTGTACTACATATATGTAGCATTCAAATTCCGATATCTAAATTACCAGTTAAATAATTTTTTTTCAAAACAAAAACTTCATATTTAAATTATTGCATCAATCATAATCGATTAAGTATAATATTTACTAAACAACTTCTTGGAGGAGAACGTCTTTTTCCATCAAACTCTTCTTTATTACATGAAAGACATCAAAGGTGTTTAGATATGAAGTTGAGTTCTTTCATGTGTGAGAAAGAGAAAAGGAGCTTTTCTGTTGCCTAAATGCCTACCCATCACCTATGCTTTAATTATCTACTCTCTTTCCTGCAACTACATGGTATATATAAATATATAGAAGAGACAAAGACTAATAAGAAACATTCTATCGGAGTGGCTGGACATTGACAGTGCTTTCAACAATGCTAATTGAGACATTTTGAAAACAAACATTGATAAGCTTGACCTTTTTGATAATTTGAGTTCTATTATTAACAGTTTTCTCAACAATAGAGATGTTAGTTATATTGATGAATTAGGAATATTGTGTTTTTAATCACAATATTTCTTTGGGTGTTCCACAGGGATCCTCACTGGGGCCGGTGCTTTGACTCATTTATATTAACTCTGTTTATAACCTTTTTGACAATATTGACTTCAGTGACTTTGTCGATTTTAATATGAACGACGCCAAAATTATTGTGTTCGCTGATGACATCCTCCTGCTCTTGAGACATCCTATCCTATATAGGTTTCACAAACTGGCCACCCACTGTCTATCAAATTTGTCCGATTGGGCTAGGGATAATAAACTTAACTTTAGTGTCACAAAGACCCAATGTCACAAGACATTCCCTAAAAGTAATAAAATAGGACGTCACCCGAACATTAAAATGAGCGCCAATCATTCCCATTGTATTAAGCTAGTGCAGAAATTAAAATTCTTAGGAGTAGTTCTCGACCCGGGACTGACCTAGATTCCACATTTGAACCAGGTCAAGGACAGGGTCGGAAATTTTAACAATGCAATTAAAAGGGTGGCCAGAGCGACTTGAGGCCTCAAACCTACCATTCTCAAAATTATCTACCTCAGGGCAACTGAACGAATTATATTCTACGCAGCCAGTGTCTGGTACAAAAATATCAAGAAAATCAACGATAAGTTAAGATCAATCCAGGGATCCTCATTGATCATCATAACTACATACCTGCCAACTTTTACGCATTTGGCGTAAAATTTTATTTCTATATTTAAAGTGGTAGTAAAATGTATGCTTTCTATACATTCCTAGCATTTATAAACTTATTTTATAATCTTTTTGATCCACCACTATTTTCAAAAAAATTAAGCATATATATTAATATGTAATACTGGTTTTGTAGTCCGCATATGCTTGTTCAAAATACAGTGTATGACTATGCCTATAATTGTAATTCGAATTCCATATTACTACCACTGAGGAAAATCATCCTTGAAAGAATTAAAAGTTGGCAGGTGTGTAACTAAATCTTATTCGACTACCAGCTCTGAGGCACTCCAGATACTGGCGGAGGTAGTTCCTATCCACATCAAAATTTAAGAAGATATTTATTTTAAACGATCAATCTGGAACTGGAGGTTAAACGACTTAAATCCAATTATTGATACACATCTAACCTCAATTCAGCTCCCATCTCTTCCAGATATTGATCATCCATCAAATTACATCATTGTGCCCTGGGGTAGGCATTTACCTAACAATAAATGTATAGAGATTTTTACCGATGGGTCAAAAATGGAGGTCGCTGAGGATACTGCTCAGGGTAAACATATTAACAATAGGACAGGGTATGGAATTGTTGACAAGAGTGATGGTACCACAGTGACCACGGCCTCCAATCGGATTTCAGACAACGGTAGTGTCTTCCTGGCGGAGTTGATGGCCATTCGTGATGCTGTTATTTGGCTAGCAAATAGCAATTATCCTGATGCCACTGTCTTTACTGATTTGCTCTTCTTGTTACAAGCCTTAAGCGACCCCAAATCCAGACATTGCTATGTCGAATATATAAAAAGATTGTGGCGACCAAACATCAACTGTCACTGCGTCAAAGCACATGTCGGTATTATTGGTAACGAGGAGGCGGATCAGGCTGCAAAATTGGCCGTCGATCTCTGCCAGGTGGATATTGAAGTCCCGAGTTTCAAAAAACAAATTACGACAATTATTAGAGATAAAATTATGAAGTGCTGGAGATCTGAATGGCATGGTTCAGAGAGGGTCAACAAGCTTTCAGTTTTTTTAAAGACCCAGGTACTAATAGATTACAGGCCAGCTTTTATCTTAATCAATTCTTAACAGGACACAGAGTGTTTGGTGTTTTCCAACAAAAAATGTTTAGAAAAAACCCAAATTGCAGATATTGTGGGGAAATCCAAACCATAGATCACTTAATCAAACATTGTCCCCACTTCCAAACGCTCCGTCAAACTCATTTCTTTAATCTTGATCAACATCAATGCTTTTCTAAACGGGCCTGTAGAAAAATTATTAAAACCATTATTAAAATCACTCTAGAGGACATGATGTCATATCTATAGACCCCGATCTGGATCTGAAACTCATGTCATCTATTTTTCTCCACTTTTATCAACTTTGTCTTTTGCATTATATATATATATATATATTCATTTTAGATTGTGCTGCCGTTCCTTGTACTTTAGTCTCTTAATCTTTGGTTTGGTCTTGCTTTTGAGGGATTTTTGATTTTATACTTGGATTTAGTTATTTTTACAATGGCTTCTTAATTTTTAGTTATATGGTTTTTATCTGTTTTCATATTTTTAAGGTAATTCTATAATTTTATCCTTTTTAACCTTTATTTCAGGCATCTACTAATATTGATTTACACAACCATTCCTCTACTTTTTAACCTTGATTTTTTAAACTTTTGATATTTTTGATGATTTGTTTAACTATTGTTCTTTCATTTAAATTTTTTAGATTTTTAATTATAACGGACTCATGGCCCTTTTTTGTCATTGTACTTCTATTCTCTTTTTTGCTTTAATTAGATGTTGTACAACTATAATACATATTTAGTGGATTAATGTTTAAAGATAGTTATAATTCTGTTTGTTCCACATCATATCTGATTTTATACTTATTGTTGATATAAATTATGGTGTTTTACGTATGTTTAATGTATCTACTCTCGTATGCCCTAAAATAGGGCAGGTCGAGATACAAATAAACAATGTATATATATATATATATAGAGAGAGAGAGAGAGAGAGATATATAAATGCTTTGTTGTTTTTCTTCTCTCTTCAGTTTGTTTTTAAATCTGAAAAGAAGCATTCATAGCATTTGAAGCATCCTTCATGCTTTCCAATATTGTTCTGATAGCATTAGTAGTCTTGAACTAATTGAATGGTCGCACTAAGGAATTTTTAACATAATTGAAAAGATAGAATAAAAAATTGATGCGACTCTAATTACATAAAAAAAAAATTTTTTAATATACAGTGCATGAATAATTTCTTTAAAAAGTAGCAAATAGCGCCCTCACAGATCAACAGAATTGTTTTCTTAAGGTATATGTATATATTTATAAATTGTCATCACAATGTTTATACTTGTATTTATACTATATGCAGATAATACCTTGTAAAAAGAAATTACATCATAATATAAAAAATCTTTAAAGCAACTTAAAGCTTTGGATTATGAAATAAAACTTGATAAAATACACTGCAAATTTACAGTTCAAACTTAATTTCAGGAATGAAATTCTGACTTTGTGACATAGAAATATTTTATACTTTACTAGTTATATTAAAATTACAATTTACAATATTAAAATTACAATTTTAGAAATAACATTTCAGGGTTTGGCTGAAATAGAATCATATAAATAAAAAGGGGAAACAATTAAAATTTTGTTAAAAATGAAAACAAAATAATACCTGTTCTTTAGCTAAGTTAGTTTCATCAGATAAAAAATCTTGCTTTAGTTTCTTTTCCTTTAAATGACGCTTAGCCTAAAAAACATATTAATAATTAGAAAGAAAAAAGATATGCATGTAGAAAATGAAATATAGTTCCTAACAATTAAACAACATAATTTTTAACAAAATTAGAGAAACAGTAAACACAAAAAACCTAAATGTAAAAAAAACTTAAATACAAATGAAATGTGACATTTTTAACAATGAAATAAAATATGCAATATTGGTATATATAGCCACTAGTACTCAGAAACAGAAAAAAAATCTGTCTTTTTCTTAATTTTCTCAGGTGAGTTACATTAAATTTCTTTTATTTTTATAACTGAAGGCATAAATCTATCAATCTTGAATTTACCAATTTCAATAAACTTATCAATCTCTAATAATTTTTCAATCTTGTCTCATTCATACATATAAAATTTAATTCAAATTACTTATTATTCAAATTGAAAATAATGAAAAAATATGCTACAAAAATACTTTTAAAAATAAGCAACAAAAATAAACTTAACAAACTTATTATGTAAAAGGATTCAGGCAGATAGCAGACAAAAGATGTGAGATGCAAGTATTTTTTTTTTCTTTGCTGTTGTTACTATGAGATGTAACTTTTTTTTATCTGATTTTTAAATAGAATAAGGAGAGAAATGTTCAGCAAATATCTACTTTCATTGATATAAATTGAACCAAAATGAAACATAAATTTTTTTCATAATTTGTAATACATCAAACTCAAAAGTACTTTTCACTGAACTTTAGGTATTAGAATAACATTCTGATATCAAAATTCCTTATTTTCATCCTTTTTTATTTCAGATTAATAAGGATTAAAAAATATATATATACTAAAACCTTTAATTCAAGAAAAATGATATTGCATTAAGAAACTACCTCTTCAATTTTAGAAAATTCCTCAAGAATATTGTGGTAGTTGCTTGGGTCATAACCTCTCCAACGGTCCCTTTTACCATCATAATCTAGCATGAGATTCGGAAGTACTGTCTCATCTGGTGCAAAATCACTTTGCGAATATTTAGCACCAACTTTTCTGGGCAGCTGAAAATGATTTAAAAATTGAGAATATAGAAAACAAATAGAGCAGCTAAAAGTACCATAGCTACTATCATTTGAAAATTAAAAAATAACCATATTAGGAATTTTTTTAAATTGAAATAGGAATTTTTTGAAGTATACACTTTTAATATTCAGCATTTCTTTTTAGTATGTTGTTCATTCTTATACCTGCCAACACTGGAGAAATAAAATAACAGAGATTTTACTTAGCAAAATGTTTTAGGCTAAGAGTAAAGTATTTCAATACATCATGCATAATTATGTAAGTCAAAAAGAGAAATTCAAAATTGAAAATAATATAAGCACTTACATTTAGTGAAGTAAAAAATATGTATTTAAATCCTAATGTTAAAAAAAAAAAATTTAAACCATTTTATAATTACTTAAAACTATTAACACTCAACTTTATTACTGGCAATAACACCATCTGTTGAGGAATAAAAGAAGTATTTTAGCCGTCAGCAGATATTCTATCGGCAATTTTTTTAAAATTTAAATTTCTTCAACAAATACGGAGAAATTTGAGAATATATGGGAGTCTTCATTAAAAAACAAGAGACTTGGCGATATGCATTCTAACATAAAATGTTCTTTGATTTTAATCATCTTTTTTAATGTGAAAGTTTTTATTTTATTTAGGTGTAATTAAGTCTTGCCTTAAAGCAAGGTACATCTTTTTCAGAAGTAGGCTATAGAAAATTTTTCTTTTTAGTGGTTGCACTAAATTAAATATTTATGTCAATTAACTATTCTATAACGCAAGGGTTTTGTGGAAGGGTGAAAGGGATTCCAAGAGTTAGGGCATTTTTTTAACGTCACTGTGATGATTTTTGAAACCTTAATTGATTTAGATCTCATTAATCATCTATTATACTTATTGATTTTGGCTGTCTAAATAAATTTTAAAGTAAAAGGCCATTGAAAAAGAAACAGCAAAATTATTTAGAATAATATCAAAATTAATAGCAATTCGGCATTACAATTAAAAGATTAAGCACATGTATGTTTTTAAACGGAAAAAACATTGATATTTTGCACATTTAGTTTTTTTTAATAAAAGTAAATTATGACAGGTTTTTAAATTTCTTTGCAGAAAATATAAATTTTCATTATTATTGCAGCAGAACCTCGATTCACCATATCTCAAATTATCAATCATTGAGAATAAAAGATACGAACTTGATGGACATGAGCTTAAAATAAGCACGTGAAAAAGTATGAAAAGTAATAAAAAATTTGAAAACAGATTTATTTACAATATGTTAATTTTTTAATAAAAATAATAAATGTATTTCTTGCATAAATATTTACAATGTAAATTAAAAATAATGCAAAACATGTTTATTTATGTAAAAAGAAAAGAAAGAAATTTTGAGTTCCACACACTCCTTTCATTTAAATGCAAAGAATAAAACTTCAACATTTCTATTGATTTGCTGTTCTTTTTCTGTAAATTAGTGTGAATACCGGAAGCTTTTAATTGTNAAAGTAATAAAAAATTTGAAAACAGATTTATTTACAATATGTTAATTTTTTAATAAAAATAATAATGTATTTCTTGCATAAATATTTACAATGCAAATTAAAAATAATGCAAAACATGCTTATTTATGTAAAAAGAAAAGATAGAAATTTTGAGTTCCACACACTCTTTTCATTTAAATGCAAAGAATAAAACTTCAACATTTCGATTGATTTGCTGTTCTTTTTCTGTCAATTAGTGTGAATACCGGAAGTTTTTAATTGTTTAAAAAGCTTTGAAGCTTTCTGCAAATGTTAACACTGGTCAATGTGGACAGCACGTGAGCTGGTAGCCTTAACTCTTATCTTCCACGCCACAACCGATGGGATGACACTAAGAAATGACAGATTTAATGTGCACCTTGTTATTTATATAAGCTGGTTGATTAGGCTACAGTCATGACTGAACCGACAGCACCAAACTCTCCACCAGCTCCAGCAGAATCAGTGACCCCTTTACTAACTGTGACACTAAAGGGTTATTAAAGGAGGACATCTAACCTCCATGCTGAAAGTTGTGAACCATTTTATTAAAGCATAAAATAACATAGATAGGTAAAAAATAACTTAACTAGCCTTATTTGACATTTTTCTTTGGGTAGGAACAAAAGAACTATCCTTATTTGATACGCTTTTTTGAAGAGAAAGGGGAATAATTCAAATAAATGTATTCCATTGGTATTTATTGATTTTACAGAATGGAAGCAAGAACATAAAAATATATTCTGAACAACTTTGTAAAAAAAAGCTATTAATTTTACACAAGGTTGACAGACGAAGTAAAATAATTGTATTATATTTTTGTAAATCAATTACACAAAGAGTAAAATGGTTTACAAAGAAGAAACAAATAACATTTCTGATACAATAACGAATAAACAATAGCAAGGAATTAAAGAAAACAGTTCACATAAAAAAATTAGTAAGTGTACCTCTAAGCAATCTTTTTTCTTGTGTGTCATTGCACCACAGTTCTCACATGCACCAGGGCGGTAGTGGACACAAATGGAACCCTAAAAAAAATTTTAAAAAATTTCGAAACTTTTTTTTATAAATCAAAAAATTATTTTTCAATATAACCTAAACTACACTAGATCTTACACTACAATAAACCCTTTCTTTCCAAGATAATAAAAAAATAAAAAGGTTATTTACCAGTTTTCAGCAATGTGGAGTTTGCTAGCTTTACTTTTAAAATGAATTACAATTGATTCAATCATATAAAACAAAGATTTATAATAACAATTTCACTTAAATGCGAAAAAGGATATGAGCATACAGAATGCATATTTATTTTCCATATAGTTTCATATATAGTTTTCATGTTATTTCTTATCAACAAATAGTTAATTAAAAGACAGGAACATTATTTTTTATCTGATAATTTGTTTTTTTCTAGATCCAACAGTTCTTTCTGCTTTTTATTAATATCAATTCTTATAGCATTAGATTTTTTCAAAAGCGAAAAATCTTCATTTTTTTGTGAGCCAGCTCGCTTGCTTCATTGTTCAGGCTTATTATATCTTTCTCTAAATCTATTCTTTTCTTTTTTATACATAATATTTCTTCTTCTTTCTTTCATTTTCTTTTATTTTCACTTTCCTTTTCTCTAGCCTTTTGGGCTTCTAGGTACACTCTATACTTAGCATGTGCACTGCGACATGAAACACGCATTTCAACTTTATGGATCCCCCCACATTTTTTTTTACATTATCATAAATAATTCTCTCTGTGAAATATAGGAATTCTCAATTTCAATGTTCTTGTTCACACTGAACCTTCTTTCCACAGACGCCTGTCCATGAGAAAGACTCAAAATCATCTTAATAATTTCCCACAACTTAGGAAATTTATCACCCTTAAAATAAAGGATGTTGAAATCATCTAATCATGTTTTCTTATGGTCAAAATTTTTGAAGGTACTTGTGTCAGGTATGACAACTTGTTTGTGAAAGTCAGAAAATACCCATAGGATTGTGTCACATTCTTTTTCTTCAGTCTGATTCAGCCGGGATAAAGTTAAAATAATATTTTTCACCCAAAAAGAAACGAACGTAAATCGATACAATCAGTACTTTCCCACATCACTGGTCCAATCCGAATGAATTCAACTTGACCCTGAACTCAGAACAAAAGTAACCTTACCCCCTACATAAAAAGATGTAGAAGTAAAATAAAATAAACAAGAAGAAAGCTAAAATAAATTAAAAAGAAAAACATTTAATAAGGATCTGACATTCTCTATCCGAATTGGCGCACTCGGGTTTCGGTTTCTAGTGCACACGCGTGCGCAAGCCATAACGTGGGTATGACATTAAGTCTGCGTGTATGATTCAGTAATAAACACCCCATTTTTCGTGAAATGCATGGGATCCACCAGATATCACTGATGAAAAAAAAGCACTTTTTTAAAAACACTAGCTGAAAAAAGCACCTTTAAAAGCTTTTAAAAACGAAAAACCCCAAAAAGCACCTTTAAGTACTTTTTACAAACGCTACGCACCCTGATAAATGTTTGACTACCAACGTTTATAATGATATTCGCCTGTAAATTATTAATTAATGGTATTTTCATTTTTTTTATTTTGTTTATAAACAAATAAATTAAAATCTCAAAAAAAATTTATTTATTTATTACAGGGGTTGTAGCAAAGTCTTTCAACAAAAAATAAGCACCCTTTAAGTAGTTTTCAAGCACACGAAAAATACTTTTAGGCATTATATACATTAACAAAATGCAAATAATTTTCAAAGACTTTGCATGATCATGATAAAATAACTAGTCTCTGACAAAGTACTTTTTTCTTGTTTACATTAGCCATTAAAAAATGATAAAAAGATTTTTCAGTTCGATATCAGAGGGTGGAAAGTGAAGCCTGAAATTGAGAATATCATACAAAATGCAACAGAATTGCACAATAGTTTTACTGAAAGCAGCTGAGTAGACGCACATGCGGACTCACAAGTATTTAATTAAACATGTAAAATGATTGGCGCTTTCATACGCCCTGGACTAATGGATTGTGGTTGAATGAATTGTGAAAACGTATAATGGAACAATGTGAAAAGCACACTTTTGCATAATACATGGCAAAAATTAACATAGTAAAGAAAAAAATCTCATTTTCGAAAAGGGAAAATTAAGCACTTTTTAAAAACACCCAATGAAAAAAGCACCTTTAAGGGCTTTTAAAAAACAAAAAAAAGCTCTTGCAAGCACTTTCTAAAAACGATATGCACCATGTATAAAGAAGGTAATTGGTAATATAACCTAATTATTTAATATTTTCAAATATTTAATCACAGCTTTTTTTCAATAAAAAACTTTAAATCGTCTTGAATTTTAAAAAAAAAAATCACTGATAAAGTGAAAAACATAATATAAACATACAAGACACAGTGTTTTCATCATAGAAAAAAAATGGATGAGAATTTCTCACCCTTTCTCAGAAACAGGGTGAGTTTTCAAAAAGTTAGTGATATTTCTAAAATCTAAAAAAATGCAAAAACTCTTGAAAAAAAAATCATTTCTTTAATTATAATACATTTTTAACGTCTTCTATTTTTTAAAGCATTGAATATTTTTGGTGCATCATCATAGAAGATTTTGGTTTTACAAGGTATTTGTCCATCTTACATTAGCACATAAAAAATTTGAACGTCTTACATGAAGAAACCTAACCTACGGTAAACACCTGGTTGCAGAGAAATGTGTTCTGAAAGGGGTTTCGTGGTTGTGTTCTGTTGTTCTAAAAGGTTCTGAACAATACTGGTAAATAGTGAAGCTAGATAACGGGGCAGATGTTGAATATAATGAAAGATCCTGGAAGAAAAGTGAAACGGATTTTATTCTAAATGGCGTAATTCGAAGCTTTTTCCAAAATGCGAGAAATTCGCTAATTTTGAAATTGATTTATAGAATGCTCGAATTTCTCGCGGTAATCATTTTTTAAAGCGAGAAAAGAAAAAAATATGCGAGATTCTCGCGTCCTCACACTGTAGTGAAAACACTGACACATAAATAGCTCATAAAATATAAAGCTGTAACCAAGAGATAATATATTAATTTTCAAGTGGCTTAATTTAAGAAAATAATTACATCGCACATACTGAAGAAATTTACTAATTTGTGAAATCTGAATTCAATAAAAAAAATCCTTTCTTTTTAAATATAATGCTAGGAGTACTTACCTTCAATCCTCGTACATATTCATCACTAATTTGACTGAAATCTTTCCGTCGATCAGGCTGGGGCCTTTGGTGTTTTAAAGTTGCAGTTTTTGCACCAAAATACCATGGAGCAGAAGAAATATACTTTGGTAGATGAGGATTAATGTCCCTAAAATTAAAGATATTTAGAACCAGAGTTGAATATTTGACATGACAAACATGAAAAAAAGGTTAAAATTATCAATGACTGCTTAAAAACAATAAAAATAGTGAATACTCAGGAGCAATGTTATATGAAGGAAAAGCTTTGGAGAGAAATTTTATTCTGATATTAATTTTTGAGGAGGGAATTTTTAAATAGAAGGGTGAATTTCGAAACAAATATCACATTTATAAATTACAGACTATATTACTTAACTAACAAATAAATTATACAAAGAAAATAGAACAGAATTATGGCTTTAATGTTTAGTCAAAAAACATTACTCCTCTATGTTTTAAATTTATTTTTCTCCATATTTACAATTTAATTAAACTAAGGTTTTTAAAATAAAAGGAATTTAAATTTTTATGCATGTTTTTTATCTCTCTACTTAATAGCATGTTTGAAATTCATGACACAGTGGATACTACCTTCATTGGTGACAATAAAAAGGCGGAGGAAAGATAATCTAATTGCTTTAAATCTGACTTTAAGACTTTATTTTATCATGTTTTGCAATTATTGAAAATGTTAGAGCAATAGGCAATATAATTTCCTAATTTCAGAATGCATGAAAGAAGTCATTATCACTCTGTCAAAACAGAGTGATAATGACTATGTAGTTACACAGATTGACTAATTTTCTTTATTTAATGGCAAGAAGAAAAAAAACTAACATTTTTTACAAAACTTTTAGGAGGAGCATTTTCGGTCTCTGGAAAATTTTTTAAGGAGTCAAATTTAAATCTGATGCATGAAACACACGTCTTGATGTGTATTTGAAAACAGAAGTGTGGTGTTATTCATAATAAAGTACAGCCCGCATATAACAAGATTACAGGTTCTAAGAGTGAAATGAAATGTTTTGTGTGTTAAATTTGCACACTTTTTCTCGCATTTAGTAGGAGAAAACATTAAAAAAAAATCAGAAATAATGAAAATCCTAACTAAAAAAAAAATTGAACAGTACACTGTGACTTGTTTAAACTTATTAAAGTAGAAAGAATTATTTTAAATATTACAGAATCACATCTTGTTGAACCATAGTCTAGCTAAAACATGTGCATTCCGTAGTTCACTTTTTTTAAAACTCTTTAAATTATAATAATTCTTTTGATGTGAAGAATTTAATGAGGAAAAAATTTCTTGAATCTGCAATTAAAACAACAATATGAAAATGGGGAAAAAAAGTGGTGTAATTCGTAACTATTTAAAAGAGTCAGCAAACTGCTTTTTAATTGAGATTATCAGTCAATTTCCATATCGTGATCTGTGCCAAAATAATTGCCAAGTCATAGGGATTTCCAGCAACAGTGGTCAGAGAGAACTAAAATAAGAAGATCCCAGAAGAGGATCAACTGAAAGGAGTATAACTCGTAGAAATTCACTGGCAAACCTCAACATGTTAAAGCTTTTTTTCTTTCAAATTTGCCTTTTAAAAGAAATACATTTGAGCCATCCATATCAAAATCCATTTAGGACCTTGGCCATTGCAGCTAGCGAGAAAGATCACGATATGAAATATCCTTGAGATCGATAACATACAAGAATCCGGCAATAAAATACAAGATTCCGGCAATTAAAAAAAGGAAACAGCTAAAGGACCTATTTGAAGAAATAATAAGAATACTATTCAACAAGATTCTGAGCAGAAGCAAGTAGTAAACTTTTCAGGAGATGATGTGCAACACTAAAAAATTCAACTCTATGCATATTTAATTAAAATTACACTTACTTTCCATCTTCATCTACAGCAGCAGGAGCATTACCAGCTTTTCTGGCTTCTTCTAACTTTTTTGCTTTACGCCAATCTTCTCTACTTCGTTTTTTAGGATCATCGATATCTGTATTGAGTTTCTCCGAAACCGATCTACTGGCAGAATTCATTATTCTGCTAAAATTATAGAATTCAATAAATTAAAGATGTACTAAGTGCTCTGGTAAACAAAGGCACGTGGAACTTCATTTGAGCATCATCAGTCATCACATCACTTACGGACGGACCTCATGGTTTATTTTGTGTTAAAGAGTACGCTTCAGACTGCCTATTCTTGTACAGGCTATGCTTTGATTAACGTGCTCTGTTGGTAAACCGTTCAAATATTACGTAAGAATATTTTTGGCACTTTGCACTTTATTCTATTATTAAATTGGCGCGACAAATTAAAAATCCTAACTAATTTGAAGCCTGATCAACTTCAAATTTCCATTTAAGATTTGAATTAGTCCCTTATGCGTCATCGATTTAACTTTTTCAATGGGTTCTAAATTCTATTTACAAACGGTCTCATGCGTCAAATTCTCACAAAGATTATGGTTTAGATCAAAAATCATAAATTTATTAATCATAATTTATATCAAAAATCATAAATTAATCATTAAATCTCCCCATCAGTATGGATGTGGAGATTTATATCATTCTCTAAAAATCAACAGTGCTGAATAGAATCTATTTTTAAATTTCCTCTACAACTGAATAACACATTACCATTATAGGGTTGCTAATGTTTTGCCTTCAATTGTAATTCGTTATTATTTCTCGCTTTTTTTTCGGCCAACACATTTGAATGAGTTAAGGTTAAGAAAAAGAGCCTTGGCTTCAAATTTTGAAAGCATAGAACCTCATGGAAAAACAAAAAGGTGGTGCCATAATGAAAAAAAATTTGAAACCAATATGATTGCCAATTAACAGTTGGGCTGAAAAGTTCGTAGGCTGACGGGCTACTATTATTAAATAAATATGATTTTTAGTTAGTTCTAACCTTCGAAAGACACGTGCATAAATTTGACAGCTGTCGGACTATTAGTTTGTGAGATATAGTATTTTTAGTGAAGCAACTTTTGTTAGATTAAAAACTATGGATAAAAATGAATTTCATGTGTTTATAAAGCATTGCTTTTTAGCGAAAAAAAATTCTCTTGAAGCCAAGGCTTGGCTCGAGAAGCATTATTCGGAAAATCAATCATTGAGAAGTGGTTTGCTAAGTTTAAACGAGGCGAAATGAGCACCGACGACGATGCACACAGTGGACGCCCCAAAGAAGCTGTTACCGACGAAAACATAAAAAAAGTCCACAAAATAATTTTAGATTACCGTAAAGTGAAGTTGATCAAAATATCTGAGACTCTAAAGATATCAAGGGAACGTGTTGGACATATCGTGAATGGATATTTGGGTCTGCGAAAGCTCTAGGCAAAGTGGGTGCCGCACGAGCTCACAATTGACCAAAAACAGCAAAGAATTGATGATTCTGGGCTGTGTTTAAAGCTGTTTAATCGTAATAAACCTGAATTTATGCGTTGATATGTGACAATGGGTGAAACATGGCTCCATAATTTCACACCGGAGTCCAATCGACGGTCAGCCGAATGAACTGCACGAGAAGAACCAACTCTAAAGCGTGGACAGACAGCTGGAAAAGTTATGTCAACAGTATTTTGGGATGCTCATGGTATAATATTCATTGACTATCTTGAAAGGGGGAAAACCTTCAACAGCGACTATTACATAGCGTTATTGGAGCGTTTGAACAACGAAATCGAAGAGAAACGGAACCATTTGAAGAAGAAAGTGCTGTTTTATCAAGACAATGCATCATGTCACAAGTCAATGAAAACGACGGCAAAATTCTATGAATTGGTATTCTCCAGATCTGGTTCCCAGCGACTTTTTCCTGTTCTCAGACCTCAAGAGAATGTTCGCTGAAAAGATATTTAGCGCCGATGAAGTAATCACCGAAACTTGAGGCTAAAGACAAATAGTACTATAAAAATGGTATCGAAAAATTATATGACCGCTATAATTGTTGTATCGCCCTTGAAGGAAACTATATTGAATAATAAAAGGAAATTTTATCAAAAAAAATTTTTTTTTCTATGTTAACCTACGAACTTTTCAGCCCATCTGTTATAATGGAAAAATTGATGTTGATTCATTTGATTGTTGCTCGAGCCAATACCAGCCAAAAATTAGAGGGTGGCACAAATACTGTGAATGTCTCAATTGATTTTTTTTTTTTTAAATAACTTTAAGATAAAAAGATAAGACTATAGCAAGATTCGATGGATTAAACCATTTTGTCGATAAACAATCAAGATTAAGACAAGAAGTTATATAAACTCATAGTTAATTTGCATAAAGAGTGCTTCCAGTTGTATCATACAAAATAATAATTGGAGAAAAAAAAAATAAAAATTTTATAAATAAAATTGGAGAATTGATTATTCCCCCCCCCCTTTATAAGGCAATATTTATGCTTTATTAGACACATTTTTTCTTCTTAAACAATTTTTATGAATTTTGAATCATAGTTTTTATATTTCTTGTTCAAAACTAGTGTAAGTTTTACAGTGAATCATGTTATTTCAAATAAATCCAATACTAAGTGCTGCTGTTGAACAGAGAATTTCGAGATTTAAAAAGAATGTTTGATAATGAAATGTAATTCAAACANTCTGTTGTACAGAAATGTGATACTTCCGTTGAAGAAAACGTTTCTAGCATAACAAAATCTGATGAATGTGAAAGTGACCCTCAAAGTGTTACTTCTCACCCATATGACATTGGACTTTTTTTAGAAGATATTACATTACGGTCTTAAACTTAAAAAATCAAATCAAACTTTAACTAAACAATGTTGTCTAAATAAAAAGTCGAAANGAATCATAGTTTTTATATTTCTTGTTCAAAACTAGTGTAAGTTTTACAGTGAATCATGTTATTTAAAATAAATCCAATACTAAGTGCTACTGTTGAACAGAGAATTTCGAGATTTAAAAAGAACTTTTGATAATGAAATGTAATTCAAATGTTTGTTAAGATTTTAACTAAAAATTGTTAAATTCTTATCTATCTACATCATGTATTTATTGGCATTTAAATTTATTCAATGACAAATTACGTTAATATTTTGATTATATTACCTTATTTTTCATAAATTTATAAATGCAAGTAAAAAATTAAAAAAAATATTGAAAAAAAAATATTAAACATAATTTTGAAAATTTCTAAGACATTTTTTATTCTAAGGTAATTTTTGATGCTTATTTTTAAATTAAAATAACCATCAAAAATTACCTTTTTTGAATAAAGAAAATTACATATTTATTTAAAATTACATAAATATTTAAAAAAGAAAGCTTCAAATTACTGATTATAGATAAGGCAGATTAGTAGTAAAATGTAAGCATATTCATCTAACAAATCTATTTCATGGGAATTTTTTTTTTCCCCAGAAAATTTTCCAATTTTAGGGAATTTTCTAAAATATATAAAAACAAAAAGAGACAATCGAGAGTTGGCAGCTATCTAACTAGTAAAAATCAATACGAAACAAAATTCTTTTATTTACAAATGTTTCAAACCTAAGATTGAAAAAATGATTGTGTCTAGTGCACAAAATATTTTTTTACCAACCTGCATATCTATCAAATGATTTCGTTGTAACACATAGTTTGTATTTTTGAACTGAACAATTCTTGTACTTATAACAAACAACAAAATTAATTTTTACAACACAATAGGACTATATACATATCAGAGTTCACATTTTTATCTTTTAAGAGGGTCCAAGACATACAAATTTTGATAAATTAGGACCTTTTTTCTCCTTTACAATTAAATCTATTGAAAAAATTATGTTTACTTGCCAACATTGGAGAAATAAAATAATGCAGATTTTACTAGTAACATTTTTTAGACTATGAGTAAAGTTTTGATACATCATGCATAAAATAGGAATTCAAAATATGTATATAAATCTTAATTAAAAGAAGACATTTTTAAAACATTATTTATAATTACTTAAACTTTTAACATTCAACATAGTGCAGTACTGGCAATAGCACTATCTGTTGAGGAATAAGAGAAATATTTTTGCCACCAGCAGATAATTTAAAAAAAAAAATTCTTCAATAAATACGGAGAAATTTGAGAATATAGGGGTAAACTAGAGAAAGTCGTAAAATACAGCAGTCTTCGTTAAAAAACTGGAGACCTAGCCGGTATGAGTTTAGTACATAACTTTTTCAATAAAAAATAAATATTCTTTCCTGATTTTTCACTAAAATAATTAAAAAAAAAATATTTTTAACTTCATTAGACAAAATTATAGTGAAAAAACTAAGATTTTAATCTCAGTTAATATGCAAGTTGAAAGTTTCATACACTCATGTCTATAAATTAAGAATAATTCAGATTCACAAGGAAATCTAAACATTTCACTAGTACAATTATTCATGAACAAATGCAAATTAGAGGAAGTGGAGTATATAAGCGGACACTCCAAAAATAAATAAATAAATAACACTAGATGGCTTACAAGATTTTTTTTTTTTTAATAATTTAATATTTTTTTTCGATTCACTTAACAAATAATAATGACCCATAACTAAACTTTGAATAGAATTATTGTAAGATGGTGAGATATTTTCTTATTTTATATTAATATAAATTTTATTTCAATGTGGTAAGTCTGTAAGTTAATAATTCTAAATTCTGCCTTCCTATCGCAATTATTAATACATTATTTATTTGAATTAAAATAAAATGATTGATTATAAATGTCCAAATATCTCTTCATAGTGCTATGTCTAAGATAAAGTTTATGTGCGCTCCCAGATGACACCGACGGTACGTCACAATGACGAGAGCGTAAGTAAGGATATATAAGGAATGGTGGCAAAGAAGTAAAATTTTTCACAAGCATTCTGTAAGCTGGTCAGTGCCATAACAGAATAGTTAGGACACATGTGGATGATTTTTTATATGGTAGAATTATTAGAATGAGGTATAGAAGAACTTGGAATTGCCCATGGTGTCATTTTTAACCTTTGGCAACAATTCCAAGATGATGGAAACGTCAGTAGATATTACAGTACCAGGGTTTCCATTCAAATCTGGAAACAAAAAACTCAATGTGTTTTCCCTGTACATATTATACACTATATATTAAGAGGAAAAAACATAATCAGTGTGCTCTATTATCAGCTTTATTGGGCTAACTATACTAGTTATAATTGCAGAAAAAACTTAGAGAAAAAAGGAACAGCTGAACATACTCAAAACAAATAATGAACTAGTTTAATATAGCTGAAATATTACCGTAAAGTATCCCATAGATTGCACTTCGAGAGGTTACCAGCTTTAAAAGACAAAACTTCCTGTATTTTCCTAGTTTCTAAATAAAAACTCAAAATTTCCTGAATTTTTCCCTGTTATTTTAGGTGATTTTTAAATTCCAGGTATTTCCCTGTGGAGTGGCAACATTGAGGACAGGAAAAGAAGCAGACAGAGCATAGCATTCAAATTGTCTCATCAGTTACCTGCAGTCACGGGTACTATTGTTTCAAGGCAAACTGTGTACAGACATTTGGGAAATACTGGTCTTTATGTTGGCAGGCCTGTCATATGAACGTAAGACAATTTAAAAAAAAAAATCCTTATTTCCCTAAATATTTAAGCTAGGTTAAACTTTTGTGCAATTGTTACGTATAATAACCAAAATAATTGATATAAGTTACAAATTTATTGCTACACGTTTTGGCATAGGGTATTTAAAAACACTATTTTCCGTTTGTAATTTATTATCGGTCACTAAAACCTCATTGGTAAGCATGCAAAATCGATCTAAACATTTCTGAAGTTAAAATATTCTTTAAATATTTCTTGAGACTTATGAAAAAATTTTATTATACAAGTGTTTCCATTATTTTGTTCATCCCCTATACAATGTATTAGTCATAATACCAACCAACCCTTTAATATTAAATTTTTCTAAAGTGGATATTTTTTATAATTGCTTCAGGAAGCAAAAATCATAGTTTTAATGAATAGTATCTTACATACACCATCTTTTATGTATTTTATCTCTTGGTCAATAGGTCATATTTCCTGAACCTTTATTTGGTTTTATCCTTAATTTATGGACATGAGTACAGATCAGTTAGAAAATGAGGCTTGCTTCCCTTAATTCCTCCCCCATGTAATATATAAAAAATTCATTAAAATATGTAACATGCAATAAAAACATATATTTAAGCATTGCTGCAATTGTAAAGATTTTTTCTAACTTTAAAATAACAAATCTTAATTAACTGTATGAATAGATAAGACTGAATGATAACTGTATGAAATTTGAATACACATATATTTATAGCTGCCAACATAGATAGGAAAAAATCGAGTAAATTTTACGAAATAATATATATATCATAATAGTAGTTGCATAATGTACTAAATAATTTATACATAGGGAATTTCAGGGATTTTTATCGATATCAAAATAGAAAAACTGCAATACTTTGCGCTCATGATCGTCATTAAATATGCTTGAAATGTTTTGAATTATGTTTACTTATGATTTTGAAGAGTAATAGATGTTTTATTCATAAGAAATAATTATGATTTTTTAATTAATTTACAAAGGGAGTTCTGAATAAAACTAAACTGAACATTTTAGAACAAAAAAAGTTTTAAACTTATTGCTATAAATGAGGTGCTTCCTTATATATTAGTAATACTTATTTAAATATTCAAGCAAACAATATAAAAATTCCACTTCAATAGGGATATTTTTAGGAAACTTAGTCAATTTTTGAAAGTTTTCAGAAATGTGCAAAAATCAGAATTTTTATTAAACCAGTAATCTACTGGAAAATCCAGTAGAGTTGGCAGCTATGTATATTTTATGGTTTCCTGGAAATTTGTTTGTAAAATATATTTTATAATTATCTTTAAAAAACATTAACAAAGGAAAAGTATGAAATAAAATTTTAGAATTTTTTTTAAACATTCTTAGGGCATATAAATTTTAAAATAAGTCAAAAAAATTTTTAACACTAGATATTGTCCAAGGAGGTCATTTTGCCTGCTTTTTCATTTATAAAAATGTACAAATAATAATGCATAAATTATTTTTTTTCCAAGTGAGGTAAATTTTTTTAATTGTTAATATTTACTAATAACTTGTTATATAACTGTAAATAATATTAAAAATAAATTAAATTTCTTTAGACATTATTCTTTCACAAGGCTGTCATTTTGACTGCTTTTGGGCAATAGGTTATATACTAAATTTCAGTCTTTCTAGTGTTGTCAATGGAGAATATGTTCAGTTGTAAAGAGAATTTTTATAAATGAACCATAGTACTTTTTGTACGATTTAATAGTATAAAAAAATTCATGCACTTTTTAAAATGGTTTTAAAAAATGTGTCCTGGACCCCCTTCAACAATTAAAATTTTTCTTCCTTTTTGTTTCAAAAGAAAAAAAAAAACTTTAAAAATGATATGTTAAAAATGACATATTCATAATACATTGTGAAAAGTATGGACAAAAGATAGAAACATTAGAATATCAGCTTTCTAAAAACTTATTGATCTCTAGCAATATGTCATCATCGGCAGCCATCGTCTCCTCCTCCCCCATATCCTCACATAGAAAGTTGTCTATATCGTCCATGGAGATACTTTTTTTGCTAGATGACCCATTTGGACATAGTTCACTTTGATTTGCAGTCTGTGTAATTGTATCGTGTTTTGTTTCAGAATTTTCTTTCGTACCATCCCCAAAGTGATTCGTAGAAGGTGAATCATTTTGCTTCGGTTGGTGCTCTGGACTGCTTACTTGTGTTCTGAAAAAAGGTATTACATTACTTATGCATATAGATCTTCATAAGCAATGGATAAAGATTTAATCACTTAAGAGATGGATTTTGAGTTAAATTTTTGATTTTCCTCTTGGTATTTTTACAGGGTGAGTAGCTAAATCTTTCAACAAAAAATAAGCCCATTTTAAGTACTCTTTAAGGACTATATATATTAACAAAATGCAAGATAATTTTCAAAGACTTTACATGATCATGATAAAATAACTAATTTCTGACTAAGAACTCTTTTCTCAATTATATTAGCCATTACAAAATGATTGAGAGCTTCATATGCTATGGACCGACTTTATGCCGAAATAGACTGTTGAATGAATTGCGAAAACGTTGAATAGAACAATGTGAAAAGCATACTTTTGCATAATACGTGGCAAAAATCGACATGCTAAAGAAAAAAATCTAATTTTCACAAAGGGAAAATTAAGCACTTTTTAAAAAACCCAATCAAAAAAGGCATCTTTAAGGGCTTTTAAAAAATAAGCACCTTTAAGCACTTTTTAAAAACACTACGCATCCTGTTGTCCTGATGAAAACCGATGATTCTAAAACAATTTTAATGTAAATTACGCAAAAATAAAGATATTTATCAAAATTCTAAAAACAGACAAATGTATATACTATTTAACTGCCATTCAAAAATTGCTGTATTTCTACTTTGTTCTGTTTTTGATATCACATCCACATAATCTGATAAGTAATAAGTTTTAAAAAATACGACTTAGAAAAACCAGCCATAGTTTTTTCCCAAAAAATTAAGATGCACTGATTATTATGTAGCATACACAAAATTAAACTGACTAACAAAAATAATTATTACTTTAACTCTAGGAATTAAACACATTATTCTTAACTTGAGATATTATTCTTAACGATCAGCCCACTGCAGGACTTAAAAACTATGGGGAAATAAATAGCAATAACTGCTAAAAATTTCATAGAATGATAGCATTTAAAAGTAAATACTCAAATGCACGATTCAAATTTTCCATATGATTTGAAATATATCAGGATATTCAAAATCCACGTGAAAATCAATATTAATAACTGCCGAAAATACAATCGAAACATATAAATAAACATAAAATTTCTGTAGAAAAGAAATTTTTTTTTAACTTTTCAAAAGAAAAATCTTTCTGCAGGAACTCTATAAAGTTCTGAGACAATGTCGCTTTGATTCTGCCACAGGGGCAAACAGTGTGTCCCATGATGAAGTGCTGTGTTTGCTAACATACATATTTTTACAATTTCGTTTCTAACTTTTCATTTAAATTGTTCATATTATTTTAGAAAACCATAAAGGTGAAAAAAAAGATGACTTTTTCCCCCTATAAACATTTTTAAAAAATAAGCAGCCATTTTGAGCATGATTTACAAATCAATATTTTAAGGAAAAACTGCTGTAAATTATTGTGATGGAGCAGTAACTAGGAAAGAAAACTCGTGTATTGCAGCTAAGCTATGATCTATAATGTATTAATTTCCCTGAAGAAGTAGATAATGCTACTACTTAGTTATATTATTAACTTGTATCGTTGTAAATACCAGATAATTGCAATAGAAAGTGCCAGGGTTGTCACTCAAATCTTGAGAAAAAAATTTCCTGTACATATTATACACAATATACAATATAGTTATACACAATATAGTAAAAGGAAACAACTGTAAATTATTGTGATGGAACAGTAACTAGGAAAGAAAACTCGTGTATTGCAGCTAAGCTATGATCTATAATGTATAATTTCCCTGAAGAAGTAGATAATGCTACTACTTAGTTATATTATTAACTTGTATTGTTGTAAATACCAGATAATTGCAATAGAAAGTGCAAGGGTTGTCACTCAAATCTTGAGAAAAAAATTTCCTGTGTTTTCCCGGTACATATTGTACACAATATACAATATAGTTATACACAATATAGTAAAAGGAAACAACAATCACTGTGCTCTCATGTGAACTATATTGGTCTAACTACACTATTTATTAGCTGCTGGAAAAACTTAAGGTACAGCTGAACATAATTAAATTTAAAAATTAACAAAAGTAAATATATTATGGCAAAAACTTTCTGAAAAAAAGTTTATTTTGGAAATGTTTGCAAAACAGCAAGACTGAAGGCATGTGTACAGCTGCATTCTACAAGCCTGCAATTCAGATAAAAGAGCACTATAAAAGCCTTATTTGCAGTTAATAACTTTTAATTTCAAATTTTAATTCAAGATCAATGTACCACAATAAATATATATGGGTGTTTCTTTGATAACATGACAATTAGGAAGAACAAATAATAAATTTTTTTTTGTATACTTATTTCGTTACATTTATTAATATCTTACAGACAGCAGTGTAGTTTATTGACATAAGCTCAAGAAAAAAAAAAATAAAATAGAAATTCACTAAATTTTGAATGCCAGGAAAATGACATATTAGCTTAGAAGTTAAGAAAACAGTCATTTTAAGTTAATAGTAAGTAACTCAACTTAAGAAACTCGAAAAGACAAAATTGAAAAGTTAATTTTAACTTTTTATGTAAATAAATTCCAAAAGTAATAATTATGAACAATTTGAATAAACAGTTTCTTCTCGGATTCTCGTTTATTTTTCTTGATTGTTTTTAGGCCCCATGTTTTAAAATAATTTTATAATAATTTGCATCGGAAATTCTTTTTTTATATCATTTAAATTTAAAATATTTCAAATAATTTTATTTTACAACTTTATCACATTCTTTAATGTATACACCCATGTAGAGTTTTTAAGACTATGACAGAATTAAACAGTACATTGATGTGCTTAGCTTATCCTTTATAGCGTTATCTTTGTGTTAGATGGACCATGAATTGTTTAAATTCTTAACTTATAAAACTTAACTTTAATTTAACATTTTGGCCTAAGATGTTTACTTTCCACTAAAAACAACGAAATAACTCAGGTAAATCTATGTAGTTTATGTTATTAATGATTTCTAGAAGATAGGAAATCTTTTTTTTAGATTTTTAAAAATTTTTTAGAAATTAAAAAAAAGAAGATTTAATGGAGATGGTTACTACAACATAATTTGTTTAATTAGGTCGAACTAATTTTTATAACTACCATAGCATTCCTAGGCTGGAGATTTATTAATAGGCTCATAGGCAGCGATTGCTTAATTAGAAAATCAGAATGAGAGATTTAAATTGTAGATGATATAATATTAAAATAAAATCATTTCATTTTAAAAGAAGAAATTAACAGAATTGAAATTTAAGGTGCCTATGAAAGTTTTTTTCAAATGAAATTAATTACCATACTATCACAGACAAATTAAACAATGGCCAGAAAAATGAACATTAAATAAGTTTCCAGCATCAATGAAAATTTCTCCATTTGTTATTTTTTTATTTTATTTTATATCAGTCTTTGAACAGCTGACCCAATTTTGGGTTTGACTACTAATGTTCAACTCCGTAGCCTCGTAATTTTGAACCAATCCAGAAGACAAGGAAACTTCTAGATCAGTACCCCCAGAGGAATCGATTTGTTATGGGAACATGGAGGACTTTATGACTAGACAGATTTAATGTGCATCAGTCACCATTTACTACATGGGGAGTCTTTGGCCAGCGGGGATCGAACCCATAAAATTTTGGACATGGGCCCAGTGCCCTACCAACCAGACTATCCCATTGTAAATATGAGGTGGTGCATAATTTTTAGATGGATTTCTGCTAAAGAGAATCTAGTTATAAGCTGCAAGTCAACAAATACCATGGGCATAGTTGCGAACACATCTCAATACACAACTAGAAATTTCAAAAAGACCCACTAATATTTCAGACAAAAGTTTCATGAATTAATTTAAATTAGCAGATGCAGAAATTTATTTTCTTGTGGGGGAAAAAACTTTATATTTTAAAATCGCCCCCTCAGAAATTAGATGCCAAGAAAAGAATGAATCTTTACTGAGATGTATCAACAATAAAACAGTGAAAGTTAGCGAGAAAAATATCAGTTAACTATGTAAAATTCTGTGGTGTAATAAGAGGCTTATCTTTTAATTAAAAGCATAGTAGCATGACTTTTAAAAACTTCTTTTTTTTCCTCCTAAATATTAATTGCATAGTTGAAATGCACGTGGGAGTTTATAAGGCATTAAGTTCATACAAATTTAAGCTGGAGTTTTTAGGTTTAGAACAGGAAATTTATTATTCTAATCATTTAACATCCATGGATTTTTTCATAAGATTGCAGGGTGACCACAAACACTCAGAAGAAAAAATCGAAACTGATTTTTATCAAATTTCCTTGATAATTGTCATCGTTGGCATAAACTTTATTATTACTTCTTCAGTTATGCCAGATTGTAGTACATACAATATAAGATACTTATACTTGCCATCAAAATTAATAGAAATATTATTTTTTTTAAAAAATTATTACAAGAACAATTTTTAGGTACCTCAAACTCAATTTAATTACTTTAAAACTTTTGGGATATTTAACTTCCCCAATTTTTTCAGACTGATTTTTCTGTTCTGAGGTCACCCTATTTTATTTGAACACAGTCGCCACAAGTTTTCAGGAGAAAACAAAATTCTCCCAATTTTCCAGGCTGATTTTATTACATTTTTCTGACATTTGTAAAGAGTGACATAAATTTATTAATTTTTCAGTTACGCCTTATTTTCACACATAAACTGTGTAACAAAACAGTTATATTTGCATTCGAAGTTAAAAATAAGCAACGAATATATGTTTTTAAATATTAGACTTTTAGGTACTTTAAATTAATATAATTTCCCTCTTAGGATATTTAATTAAATTTCTTGACATTTCCCTGATTTTCAAGATTGATAAACTTCTCCAACCCTCTTCTGTGGCCACCCTTTTGTATCATTATACTTCATCACATAAAGAATGGAAAGTATAATAATTTTAAAATTAATTTAGGTTTTAAGAATTAAAATTAGGGCCTTTGGGAGGTTTCGACAGAAAGTCATTTTAGGGTTCACTAAAATCACATTTGAATTTAGAGTTTATTCAGGCACTTTGTTAAAATAAATAGTGAATGAAAATATAGTTTTGATCAAAATTATGATTTGATATATTGGATTCTTAACTGCTCATGTGAACTAAGTACACTATGTGAATGAAAAAAAAATAATTACTTGTTTTGTTCATCTCTTTTCATCATTTTGTTATTTTTCTCTTCATCAGATGTAGAAATCTTCCTTTTAACTGAGAAGAGAAAATATTTATCTTAACACACTGGTTAAATTGAAAAATACAAATTGTAAGTGATTTATGAGGCATATTATATGGGTTTATTCATTCTTATGTATAGTGAAAAGGCAAACAAAATTACAGTATCAGCTGATGAAAAAAAATATATAAAGAATATATATTGATAGATGAAGAATATATATCGAAAATAATTACATATTCCTCCCTGTTCGCACTTTCCAAGTCATCATTGCATAGAAAAAAGAAAAAGATTTCAATAACCATGAAATTCATGGCAATTACGGAAAAATGATTCATGATAAAAACCACATGCATTTGTAATGAATTTTAAAAAATCAGAGCATCAAAAGGGGTGAAACATACATTGGAGAATAATGTTGCGTTAAATAATTTCATATTCAAAACTAACGAGACTTTAAAAAGTATGCGAAAATCGGTGGAATCACGCGAAAGTAACAACTGCCAAAAATGTATTGAAAAAAAATGATAGAATTATAGCGTTTAATAGTGAATACTCAGGAGCATGATTCGAATTTTCTGAATCGTAATTTTTTAAATCATGGTGAAAATTAACACCAACAGCTGTCAAAAAAGTAAAAAAAAAATTACTGAAACATCGCATGGTTTTTATGGTAAAAAGAATTTCTCAAATGTATAATTCAAATTTTGCTTATCGTGATAATATCCAATTTTTAAATCCATGAGAAAAATCAATCGTATAACTTGAAAAAAAAGAAAAAACATTGAAAATTGACTACGGAAATCACAATTCTAAATTACCACGTTGTAAAATCATATAAGATATTAATTCTATCTAATTGCAGTCAAATAAAAAAGATGGCAAATATATCACATTAATTAAACAATTCTTTTGCTACAAATCAGAATTTTCAACATAGTTGGTACTTTTTAAAATACAAGTTTAAAAAAAAATGAGAGAAAACACAATTCTTTTAGTGAACAATGTTCTAAATGTTTGCCATTTTGGAATTACTTTTTAGATTATCGATTTTATTCTTTTGTGTTTGCCTCAGTAAGTTATTGATTTAAGCCAAAGTTACTTTGAAATTTTTTTTCAGTATTTTGATCTCGAAGCTTATCGGAAGTGTACAAAACCTGCGCAAAAAAAGTCGTTTCAGCGTTTGATTGAAAACTTATCGAAAAAATAAAGAGGAGAGGGTACTGGTAAGGGTGAAATAAACGTCTCAGTGACGAGATTTCGCAAAAAAATAACAAAATTTAAATTTACGGAACTCCGAGAGAATTTTGCTGCAATATAAATTATTGATTCGCGGAACACTGCAAATAAGCGGAAGAATCACATGCCTATTATTAATTTTAATTTTTAACCTCTTATGGAAAGCTAAAAAATTTTTTAATAATAAGCAAGATTTTGTATTCCTACTTTTTTATAAAATTTTTTTAACTTTTTGAAAATTTTTTTTAACTTTTTCAANGCGGAACACTGCAAATAAGCGGAAGAATCACATGCCTATTATTAATTTTAATTTTTAACCTCTCATGGAAAGCTAGAATTTTTCTTAATAATAAGCAAGATTTTGTATTCCTACTTTTTTATAAAATTTTTTTAACTTTTAGAAATTTTTTTTTAAACTTTTTCAAAAAGTTTTTTTTTTGTTGAAAACAATATATTTAGTAACAATTTTTCTTCTCTTTAAAATATTTTTTTCATGTTTTTTTTGTATTTTTAACTTATTTTATGAGCTCTATGTATTTACAGCTTATATGCAGTAAATAAGACTTATTATTTTTTCTTCATTTCCTTCCTTAATCTCTTTTCTTTGTGCACATATTAGGATGAAACTTATGTGTAATTCCAGATTGGTCACAAATTTCTTTGGCCGAACGAAGATTAAACATGATAAAGTGATCATAATTGAAGAGTTAAAAATAAAGAATGAAACCTTTAAGTAAACTTTCAGGATCTTTACAATGCAAGCCAGTGTTTTCATCCTGCAAAGAGACAAATCAGTAGACAGTCAGAAAGTGCAACACAATGTGAATTTCTATTTATAAAATACGAATTTCTATAATATGAATCAACATAATGTGAATAGAAGCACAAAATTTAACCATTTTATTTCAATGCATTAATATTTTTAAATCATTTAACGCAGTTTAATTAAAAAATGTAAAAGTAAGTAAGCAAAATAAGTAGTAACTATTAAGAGGACGCCATACAGCAGAAGAAAATTTTCCTCACAAATTCTCTTTCTTCTTCATTACTCATTTAAAATTTTAACAGTAGAAAAAATGACTTCAGACAAACCTAGAGTACAGTGTTTTCACTACAGAGCGAGAACGAGAGAATCTCGCATACTTTTTTCTTTTCTCGCAATAAAAAATGATAAACGCGAGAAGTTTGCGCACTCTATGAATCAATTTCAAAATGCACGAATTTTGGAAAAAATTTCGTCTTTTGCCATTTTGAATAAAATCCGTTTCATTTTTCTTCTTTGATCTTTCATTATTTTGAACATCGGTCCTCGTTATCTAGCTTCCCTATTTACCAGTATTGTTCAGAACCGGCACGAACAGCAAAACACCCCCCCGAAACACGGAACCCTTTTAGAGCACATTTCTCTGCAACCACGTGTTCACTGTAGGTAAGGTTTCTTCATGTAAGACGTTTAAATTTCTTGTGCATGAATGTAAGATGAACAAATACCTTGTTAAGACGACATCTTCTACTCCGTAGTGGACAAATGAAAATGAAACAAATGTCAGTAGAAACAGTCAAAACGAAACAAATATGGATATTTTTTCAACCAAATAAATATAATAGCTGTTGAAAAAGTAGATATAGAACTTTTTTCATATGATGATGCAGCAAAAATATTCAATTAGAAGATTTTTAAAACGTATTATAATTAAAGAAATAATTTTTTTCCAAATCTATTGGTGTTTTTTTAATTTGTAGAAATCTCACTTAACTTTTTGAAATCTCCCCCTATTTTTGAGAAAGGGTGAGAAATTCTCTCCCATTTTTTTTCTGTAATGAAAACACTGGAGTAAGTCGTGAAGTTTCAAATACTGAAAAGAAAATTTCAAAATAACAAAATTAAAATAAATTATGAGATGATAACTTAGGATTATGCAACGGAGTAATAATAATTGCTTGCATCTAATAATTGTTTGCATTTTAATATTATAAAGTATTTTTTTCAGCACTTTAAGCTTCATGACTTACTCTAGGTTTGCATGAACTTACTTTTTCAGGGTGTGTAGCCATATCTTTCAACAAAAATAAGCACCTTTTAAGTATTTTTTAAGCACTCAAATAATATTTTTAAGCACTATATACATTAACAAAATGTAAAATAATTTTCAAAGACTTTACATGATCATGATAAAATAACTAGTTTCTGACAAAGAACTCTTTCCTTGATTTTATTAACCATTATAAAATGATCAAGAGATTTTTTGGTTCGATATCAAAAAGGGTGGAAAATGAAGAATGAAATTGAGAATATCTTGCAAAATGCAGCAGAGTTGCATATGAGAGTGAAATAGTCTCACGGAACTCAGCTCAGTAGACGCACACACAGACTCGCAAGTATTTAATCAAACATGTAAAATGATTGGCGCTTTCATACGCTATGGACCGACGGTACGTCAAAATTGATTATGATTGAATAAATTGGGAAAACTTTTAATAGAACAATGTGAAAAGCACGCTTTTGCATAATATGTGGCGAAAATCAGCATGGCAAAGAAAAAAAATCTTATTTTCAAAAAGGAGAATTAAGAACTTTTTAAAAACTCCCAATGAAAAAAGCCCCTATAAGGGTTTTTAAAAAATGAAAATCGAAAACAAACACCTTTAAGCACTTTTTTAAAAATGCTAAGCACTATGTTTTTCTTTCTTTTAAATTAATAATGAAGGAGAAAGAGAATTTGCGACGAAAATTTTTCTTCCACGGTAAGGCATCCTCTTAAGCAATATTTAAAGTATGATGAAAATAAAAATTTCATTAACAAGCACATTTAAACAATAATTTAAAACTGTTAAATTTTTTTTTTAAAGAAATTAAATTTTAAAATAAACTTTGTGGTTGACATGACATGTTAAGTTCAAGAGTAGAATGCTTAAGGTTCAACAGCAGTAAAAAAAGGAAATTTTGGAAAATAACTTACTGTTTCCATATTTGCTCTGGTTGACAGGTTTTCTTCCATGCCTGTAAAAATTGCCAGAACCAGATAAGTCTAAAACACATATATGCACATAACAATGCTCTTGAAAATAGAAAAATATAATATTATAGTGCAAATAGAAATTTTGATTTACAATAAAATATTCAAATTGATACCCTGAAATTTTTTAAAAATTATTGTGTGATGAAAAAAAATTTTTTTTTATCATGAAAATAAATATTTACGTGAAAAATATTGTTCAAGATTGTGAAAGTTTATGAATAGAGAAAATAACCCTTGATAAAAACAGAATTGAGCAATTTTCTAACATAAAAAAAAATTAACAAGCCGTAGACTTTCTCCTAATAATTTAACCCTCTTTTTCAAAGCCAAGGAAAATAAAAAAAAACAAGAGTTTAAGTGCCTTACACAAGAAGCAATGCAATGATTTTAAACTATATAATCTTGTGGTTAAGAATTATCTAGGCTTTAGAACAGACAAACAACTTAAATATTTTAAAAGTTATGAAAAATTCTTAAAGTCGCCAATTTGGCGAAATTTTTTCACCTAGCCAAAAATTATCAAAATCACTGCCTTATTCTCAGTTTTTGCAAATTTTTATGAGTCCAGTTAATACAGAATTGGAGTAAGTTTCTAAATATAAAAAAATTAGAACACAAACGCTTTTCATTTTCACAAAACTGTAGCTTTTCTCCATATCGACGTTTTGCATTATTTTCAAAATAAGCGCAGACAGCGCTAGCTTTAGATAAGCTAAACTTAACCTAACAGACATGAGTAACAGTATCAAACTCATAGCATTTATATAAAAAAAAAATTATAATATTCACAAATAAGCTTAATTTAATTAGGAAAAAACGAACCCAAAAATCAAATAAATGTAAAAGATTCGGATTATTTATTTTATATAACTAAGGTAAATTGTTACCTTTTCTTAAAAAAATGATTGGGCTTTAACAGCATATAATTATTTAAATTGTAAAAAAAAAATAAACTTATGCGTAAGACATGTGTTCTTTATTTGCAATTCACACTTTTTTTAATAACAGCAAGGTAGAGGTTCCACTACAAATAAAATTTATTTATGACTGGTAAATTTCTATATATTTTCCCCCATATATTCAAAAACAATTTTGCCATTGTAAAATTTTTGGCTAAATATTGTATCCAAATTTCAAAATCCATAAAAACCATTGTCCATACTTCAATTTCAGCTTGAATTTAACAAAAATAATGCATTTAACAGTACTAATACAAAAAGATATTTTAATGATAAGGACATTTTTAACTGGGTCATACAGAAAGAAGTTTCACAGAGAAAAAATGGTTCATAAAAAAATAAAGGTTTGTTAGAATAAATTTACAATAGTGTTTAAGATAATGTTTGAATATAGATTTCCTGTAAAGTTTATTGACGGATAGCCTTGTCGTTTCATTTCTAAAAACTCAGCAGGAAACAAAATCATTTTGATATGGCATAAGTGACCGGTTAAGAATACCACATAGCACTAACTGACCAAACATGTGCTACCTTTTTGTAGAGGACAGCTAGCTGGCAAAAAAGCTACTCTTTTCCATAGATTGCAACAAGAGCGGAGTTTGCATGAGAACTTGCTTTTTTATTTGAGAAACTGCAGTTTTTCCTAGAGTGGAATTTCTGAAGGTACCACTAAATGGTAGTAAATTTAGCCTGGACAGACCCCTGATCATAAAAGTAAATTTTTTACCTATGTCATTTAGAAATAACAATTAATTGGGAGAATATGCATTATGATTTTTTTTTCCAAGTATGCATGTACCTCAAAATGAAATAAAATTATTAGATTTTTTTTTTTTAAACTAAGAATATTACCTTCATTGACAGTTCCACCACCTGAATCCAAAGATTTACGGTTAATTTTCAGTTTTCTGGACGTTTCTGAAGGCTCCTTTTTAATTAAAGATGTATTTAGTTGATTTTGAAGACTTCTAGTTTCATTTTCATTACTTGGTGCTTCTTTTTTTATCATTTTCTCCTTTCGAATTTCATCCAATGTTTTGATTTTAAATCCTAAAGTATCTGAAAAAAATATAAAAAAATAAAACATAAATTATATTAGTTTTGAGAAAATGGATAAAAGGATCAATTTCAAAGAAAACATTACACGTACTATAAATATATTATTATTTTAAGCTACTTTTTGTCTCTGTTTCACTTTCAATGTCTCTTATTTATAGTTTAAAGCGTATAGTTATATTAAGTTGCTAAAATTAATCTCGGAGGTCTACGCATGTGAGCTTAATCGCAAATCAGCTAGGCGAATTTGAAACTTTGACAGTTCTATCAATTTAAGTAAGTTTTCTAAAATCCAGAAATTTCGGAAATCCGGATCACCTGAACTGTCAGGTTTTTCGAGATTGCACTGTATAAAATATATGATCGAATACTACCTACATCAATTTTGTTTGAAGATAATTTTTCAGTTTACAATAGAACCTTCATTATCCAAAGTAGGAACATGATTTACTCAAGGTTGCCACTCAAATCTGGAAAAAAACTCTCTGTACATATAATACAGTAAGAGGAAACACAACAATTACTGTGCTCTTTTGTGAGCTATATTGGGCTAACTATACTAGTTTTAATTGCTAGAATAATTTAAGAGAAAAAAAAGAACAGCGGAATATAATTAAATAATGCTATAGTAAATGAAATAGTTTAGTATAGCTGAAATATCATCCTTAAACATCCTATAGATTATGCTTTGAGTGGTCACCATTTTTTAAAAGACAAAAATAAGGAACAAAATTCCCTGTATTTTCACAGTTTGCAAAGAAAAAAACCAAAATTTTAGCATTTTAGGTGATTGATTTTTAAATTTCCTGTATTTTCCAGGTTTTCCCTGTGGAGTGGCAACCCTGTTACTTTGTATGGCTCGTAATTAATGGTTGCCATTGTCCTGGACTACCAAAATTTGACTAGGAGCAGTGAAAAATTATGAATAAGTGCTTTCTTGTTCCAGAAATCAATGTAAAGGGATGCTGCATTTATTTAGTTTTTTTACTTTCAGTTTCATGTTTTTGTCTGTGTTATTGCCACAAAATAGCATATTCATTATAATTGTGAACTTAACACATTCTTTGTATTGCAATTATTCATTTAAATTTACTCATTTACTTTTGTTTAACGAGAAAACTTATAGTGAGACGTGTACAGACCAGAGAAAATGTATATGAAATTGTTAGATCATTTACTCCCTAGTCAACAAAGTAGTGGCTAAATGTTCCTAATTTTTATCACTGACATTATGACATAATTTGTCATTATGTAAGTTTGGTTTCTTTTCTGGCACTGATGTTAGCCATAGTAAAAGCTTTTATCATTAATAGCATTTCATAGTTTACAGTTTTTTTTCCTCAATAAATTAACTTAATACATAATTAAATAACTTACAAAATAAAAATAAATAATTTGAAAGAAAAATTAGTTTAATTTAAAATTTCAAGACAGTTTTTAAAACATCAAAATAAATTAGAAACAATTTGAAGGAAACATACCATTTGCTGGATTGATTTCTCTCTTTATTGAAACAATTTTATTTGGTATTTCAAACACTGAAAACAAAATTAATCAACATTTACAATCGATATTCTAAGAATGATATGAAATTTTCAAAGTAACAAAAGTATTTATTGTGTTAGGAAAATTTCAATTTGAAAATATAAAAATTTTAAATTTTATTTATTTTCTATTTGTAGCAATAAAGCATTGAGTGTGTCTGTGGGCTCAGTGCTATATAATTATATGTACAAGGCACAGATTTAAAAAAAAATCAGCACATATTAAAACCTTGAATTTGATGATTGAATTTTCACAACACACGACATTTTCCTAATGGTTAAAAAAAACTAACTAGAAATATACTAATTAACTTGTACAGAGTAACACAGGAATGATATTCTACAAATTCTGATTAACATGAAGAAAACAATCCCCAATTAATTTCAGCTTATAGCTGCAGTTTTCAAACTTTAAATTTAGCAAAAGATAAAAATATATCCCTAAAAGATTGTACAAACATTCAAAAAATGATTTCATTAATTGTGAATACATTTTAACACACACAATTAATTATGAATACATTTTAATAAACACAAAAAAAAATTGAAACATTTTATCAAACATACCTCTTGCAACTGGCGGTTCTTTTGATTGTACTAAAAGCGTTCTTAAATCACCTAAAAAGAATAATTGTTTTAAAGAAATGAAAATACTAATGTAAAAAGCAAAACAGAAAATAATGAAACTTATTGGTACGGGTTACGAATGTTAAAGGTTTACTCTGATATTATAATTCTATTTACTGCCTTTATCCAAAGTGTACCAAAACTAGAGCATAATAACAATGATAAAAAGTAACTTAACTGTTCTTTATTTAAAAAAAATCTAATCAATTTTGAGTATCAAAACACAAACAATTTAGAGTTTGAACACATAAATCCAATATTGTATTTAAAAAATTTCAAGTTTAACACTTGGGCATAAAGAAATCCTATTAATGTTGTACTCAAATTTAAAGTCTTTGGGCTTCCAAAAGTGAATTCATGCTTATTTCTAAAAGCTGGCCCACCTAATTACTTTAAAGGTAACAAAACTGAAGAAGTACGACCTTGAATCAAAAGATCGAGCTCAAAGCAAAATTTAAGACACCAGACAAAAGTTAAAGTAATAATAACCAAACATCTAAGAAACAACATAAGAGATAACCAATTGATTAACCAAAAAATAATCATGCTCATAACGAGGCTGGAAGAGAATTGGAAACAAATAAACTTAAAATAGATCTCAGATGAAAATAAGGACCCAAAGTCAAGTACCTATGATTTTACAAATCAAACAATCTCAATTTTAATATCATTTTATAAACAGTTGAATTTCACTTTGCCACTTTTATGACTTGCTGATTTATTAGGGATCCTTTGATTCCAAAATCATGTTTAAGCTTCCCCTCCCCCCAAATGGCAGAGGGTTGACGGTACAACAGTAAGAGCCGTGATGGTTCAGGGGAGAGATGGCTCTTGATTTTCTCTCAAGATCAAAACACTTCTCCATTCTTCAAAAGTACATGATGGTCTAAGAATTCAAATATTTTTGCATCTTCAAAATAAAAAGTTTCAGGTATAAAAGGGACTTGTCAAACAGAAGATATGAAAGGGACATGTTATACTGGTTCTAAATCAATTATACAAAAAAGGAATTACAGATTACGTAATTTCAGATAGGTAAGTGACAATAAATCTATTGTTCCTTTAAATTTGATAATATTCTTCTAAAATATTGATTTGATATTTTCTACATGTTGAGTACAAAAAGATCAAAATTGTAATTAAATGCAATTTATTGCATTTATTNAACAAAAGTACCCTTACCCCCTACGTCAAAAAAGTGTTAGAAGTAAAATAAAATAAACAAGAATTAAAATAAATTAAAAAGAAAAACATTTCATAAGGATCTGATATTCTCGATCCGATTTCAAGTGTGCGCGCATGCACAAGTCATAACATGGGTACGACATGAAGTCCGCATGAATGATTACGTAGCAAACACCCCATTTTTTGTGAAATGCATGGGATCCATCAGATATCACTGAAGGGAAAAAAATTATTCGTGAAAAAAAGCACTTTTTAAAAACGCCTGTTGAAAAAAGCACCTTTGAAAGCTTTTAAAAACGAAATCCCCAAAAAAGCACCTTTAAGTACTTTTTACAAACGCTATGCACCCTGGTTTAAGCTCCCCCTCCCAAATGGCAGAGGGTTGACGGTACAACAGTAAGAGCCATGATGGCTCAGGGGAGAGATGGCTCGTGATTTTCTCTCAAGATCAAAACACTTCTCCATTCTTCAAAAGTACACAATGGTCTAAGAATTCAAATATTTTTGCATCTTCAAAATAAAAAGTTTCTGGTATAAAAGGGACTTGTCAAACAGAAGATATGAAAGGGACATGTTATTATACTGGTTCTAATTCAATTATACAAGAAAGGAATTACAGATTACGTAATTTCAGATAGGTAAGTGACAATAAATCTATTGTTCCTTTAAATTTGTTTCTGTGAGCTTCTAAAATATTGATTTGATATTTTCTACATGTTGAGTACAAAAAGATCAAAATTGTAATTAAATGCAATTTATTGCATTTATTATTTTTTTTTGCAAAAAATTCCAAAGTAACAAAAAAAATTTGGTTAATGTTGAGATTCATAATATCTATATAAAGAATTTTCGTTATTGCGTAGTGATTTCTTCGGTCTCTAGAAATTTGATAAAACGGAATTCCATCGTAATACCATAAAAATCCGCTAATTGCGAATCAAGTCTTTAAATAATCACTTTATGGCATGCTCTAGTAGTGAAGATTTCATCTCAAGTACACAATTTGTTTCAAAACGCTAGAGCTTAAATCCCCGAGTACAAGATCCAATACCCGCATCTGCTGTTTCATAGAAACTGCTTGCAAATATCGGGATTTTTAAAAATTCTCCGTAAAAGTATCTTTTTTTTTAAAAAAAGTTACTTATTGCCCTGTTAAAGGCGCCGTGTAGTATAAAAAAAAAGAGCTAGAGCAAAAAGCCGCTTTCTGGCAGTCTTGAATGTTGTTGCAATTTAGTTTCAAAATTTAGTTACAGTAAGATTAAAAATACAGTAAAATTATTTTTTTTTTCTTTCAAAAAATAAATGCGACCACTTTTTATTTCAGCAACTTAAAAAACTCAATTTTTCTAGAAAAAGCATTAAAAATTTTACCTTAGTTATGATATAAGTGTAAAAATAATTCAATCCTATTAATAATAATTTAAAGGTTTGTTCGAAGTCAGCATATTCCTATAACTAAAATATTAAAAGAAATAATTAAAAAGCCATGCATGTCATGCAATTTTTTTTCACTTACTAGGTACAATATTTTTACAAGTTTAAAGTATATAAAAAATTTCTTTTCCTTTTAAAAAAAAAAAAATCTTAATTAAGAATGTTTAGGTTTTGGTTTAAACTAGAAAAGTAAAAAAGTTTTGGGAGATAGATAAAATAATCAATAATAATTTTTTAACAAATAAGAATTTTTTAAACTCTAATGTTTTTTAAAATTTTATTATACTAAAAAAAAAAAATCTAAAAATGTAAATAGAAAAAATTGTAAAATGTAATGTATAATGTCTTAAGAATTATGAAACAAGAGTTGAATAAGACTATTAAGGACCACTAATACTATATATATATATATAATTTAATAATATAGTAGCTAATATATATAATGGTAGCTAATATATATACTAATATATATATAATTTAAAAACTTCTCAGGATTTTAAACTTTTAAAACTTTCTAGGAAGGCAGTGGAGACCCTTTGCTATAAATAAATATTCTATAACAAAGCCAAGGAATGAGCATGAACATTTTATAATTAAGCAAAAGATGAGGAAAATGTAATTCTTACTAGTTTTTTTTACTGATGCTTGAGGAATTTCTTTTATTTGAACAGCATCTGAAAATATATATAAAAAAATAATATGATTTATTTCAAATTATATTATTATAGCTATTTAACATGCTGTTTTAAATTTTCTTTATCCAATACACACCTCGTGGACTTTCAGCCTGAAGCAAAAGGAATTCTGAAGAGGCTAAAAATGTAACATACAAGATTCAAGTAACACATTATTCCTCTTGCTTACATTTGTAAATATCAATCAATCACTATCAATTAAAATCAATTATCAATCAATTAAATACCAATCTACATACAGAGATGATTCTCCAAAACATTTCAAATCACGCATAGACGTTTTCATATCACTAATACAAAAAAAACTAAGAAATCTTTTTTAAAAAAAATCATACTTTAGGTGTCTCCTTTATTTTCAAAAAATTGTATTAATTTTTGTACCAAGAAAGTCTAGGTTTTTGCATCAATTTGTATGAGATAAATTTAGGGGTTTTGGCCCCCTCATATTTTATAGATAACAGGGCACAATTTTTCAATAAACATTTTTGGTATACTTGAAAAGATAATTTCTGTACATAAAAATCAATAGATTTTTTTGTCTTAATTCTAAAAAAAAAAAGGAAAGAAAAAAATGACTATTTCAAGAAAGCTTTAACGTCTTGGCAGGAACTGCTATCAATCTTTGGGGATACAGAGGCTAAGTACATCCCTATGTTGACCAATAAGAAAATTCTTTAAAAAAAAACAGTGGAGAGCAAAAAAGAACAGCGTGTGAAGGAGGAGAGAAGGGACAACGTCTCCCATGAGAGAATAATTTGAGCACACTCATGGAGTTGAGCTCGTCTGAAGAATTTAATTTAAGGTCATCCAAACACGAGACACACAGAATTACTTCCGAGCACAAAACATACAAGTCCACACAGAAGTCCGAGCTATGCATCAAATGAAGGTCTAATTTTGCAGTCTCATCGTTTGGTCTTTGATGCCTAAACAAGAAAATTTGTCATCTGTATAATTTTTCTCGAGCTTATTAAAAATATTTATGACAGGAGATTAATTATTAAATATTTTTAATAGTCTACAAATACAATATTTTGAGCAGTTATGTCTTTGTTAACGGAATTCTAATTTTCAGATGTCTTTTTTTAAAGCACAATATGCTTTTTCCCCAAAATTAATCTCTTCTTTTTTTTATTTTCTGAAATTTGAAATTCTAAAGAAGTTACGAAACTCATACAGAGTTATGTACAAAACTTCAAACTTATTTCAAGTAAATAATATATTTCAGAAACTATTCATCCTATTTCTATATTTTTTTTTTATATAGAAATTTAGGTACTTTACAAAGCAGCATAGACATTTTTTATATCCCTAATTTCTAGCTTCTTATAAAAAAGAATTAAAATTTTGAAGAAAAAAAAATTTACAAGTAACATTGTTGAGAATTAGATGCTCAACAGTTTTTGGACAAATCAGTGGAAAGTGTTTAAAATATGTCTTCCTAAAAAATGCAATTACAATTTGATATTGTTCCACCAAGAATTTGCTATTAAAAAAAATTATATTAGATAATTGTAGACAAAATCTGAACAATAAGATTTAATTATAAAAATATATATTTTTTAAAAGGAATTGGAAATATGATAGAAACAATTTAAATTTAGTTTGAACCTACCTGCAATTTTAATCATTACTTACTTGGAAATAAATTTCGTTGGCCATTTATATTAATCCTTTATTTTAAGTACATGAAGGAAATAAAAACTGTGCAGAAGGAAATATACTTATTCTATGATGAATCGTTTCCTGGGTTTGTAGTAGGATTTTTCTGAACAGTTCATTTTTTTTTAAACCAAATTTTAAATTTCCAAACAATTAGTTGTAATATTCCAGGGAAATTTTCCCTAACAAGTGGGAATAATGTTTAATTTATCAATTAAAAAACTGAATCTATAAAGGAAATGACGATTTTATCCATGACTACAATCTACCAATTTTATGAAATATTGTAGCATTTTTAACAAGTTTGCAACAAAACTTATGCCTGTGAAATAATATTCCTTTTAAAACAGAAAAATTTTTTCAACCAAAGCATTTTTTTCATGTTGTTATTTCAATCAGTTTTAAAAATACGCTTTTTAAACTTTTGAATAGTCTGGTTTCTAATTCCTTAACCTTTTCAAACCTTACGGGACATACGTGACTCTAGTAAACTGTTGAGTTAAATAGATCCAATTTTAACATTAGATTTGCATTCTTTTTAACAGCCCTCCTTCCAATTGGATGTTTGCCAGGATTTGTAAAACTGTCATGATGGCATAGCTTGAGGAAGAAATTAACAGAAATTTTTTCCCCCAATGCATAACTATTTTTAATACTTATTTCATCATAATTACTTTTTTCGGTACATAAAAGACTGCCATTTTTTATCTGATAAATTACTTTCTTTACAACACATGAGATAATATATATGTTGAAAAAAAAATACACATTCTTCCTTTTTTTGCACTTTGCAAGTCAACATTGCTTAAAAAATATATTTTAAAAAGTGTGAAATTCACAGAAATAGCTGAAGAAAGTTTTATGTTAAAACCAGGTGAGTATTAATGCTCAAACCACGTGAATCAGACATGTCAAGAAAGGGTTGGCTATATTCAACTCACATGGTTTTAACATAGAAAGTTTTATGTTAAGACCATGTGAGTATTAATGCCGAAATCACATGAATCAGACATGTTAAGAAAGTGTTGGCTAAATTCAACTCACATGGTTTTAACATAGAAAGTTTTATGTTAAAACCATGTCAGTATTAATGCCGAAAGCACATGAATCAGACATGTCAAGAAAGGGTTGGCTAAATTCAACTACCACGAAACTTTTGAGATTCATATTGTAAAAAAAAAATAATAATGCTGCATTAAAAATATTGAGATTTTTAAAAGTATGCGAAAATCAGCTGTGATAACCCTGCAAAACTCTATGTGCGATTCAAGCTTTGAAGGTTGTAATAATATCATAATTTTAAAAACCATGAGAAAATCAAAACACGAATTTATGACAGTATTTAGCATGTTGAAAAGTGCAAACTGAAATATGTGAATTATGAAAGGCCTGTAAAGCCTCTCTATAAAGCCTTATGAATATATGGTTTACTTTGAAAACAACATTTGAAGAAACTTATGACTAATTTAAAAAACAAACAATTATTTATTGATTTTAAGAGGCTAAGAAAAGCTTAATATAAGATGTCTTTGCATAACGATTTAAACTTTTTTTACAATAAACTTAAGTTGTAAAATCATACTAAAAAATTTATAAATCCTTTTAAAAAAATACTTACGTGGGTAAATTTGGTCTTCATCTAAAACTCGTTTCTTCTTATAATCTTCTAATGTGGGAACTTCATAATCTGTAACACATTATTTGAAATAAATTGGGAGCATTTTTGATGTAAGTATGCAAAGAATGGTCAATTTAAAAAAAACTTATTTGCGTTATTGATTTTTTTTTAAAAATAGAAAGCATTTGTACAGAATTTTTGAATGTAACTTTCACATTTATTTATTTTTTAGTTAAATAGCAATTTCTCAAATAATTGACAAAAAATAGAGTAACTTATGTACATCTTTATAACTTTTAACAAAATAAATAATGAAAACACATATACATTTTTTTACTGAAATATTTCTCATGATAATCGTATCAAAATATTTTAAAAATTTGTTAAATTATAAATATTTAAAATGCATTCATCGATAAGACAGGGCAAATTAGAATATAAAAAGTATTAAAAAGACGCAGACATGTTAGAATAGGCTCTCAACAATAAAAATAGCCCATTTTCTTCCTTTAAAACGTGTTCCTTCTGATGGTGGCAGTCACAGCTGTAAGACTTAAAATATTGTAATTTGCATTCCTCACATTATTTTCTGTGTTATATTCCAGCACAATGATAGGCCCTCATTTCTTCATAGATTTGCTGCATTGTTTAAAAAGAATTCATACATAATTTTAAAAATAAATTAATTAATAATAAATAAAATAACCACGTGAAAATTTTGAATCCTTACTTTTACATAATTAAATTTGCTTACACTCAAAACTTAACTACAGGGATTCATAAAAAAAATATTATGCTTTAATTAAACAAAAATTTTAAAATTTAGGTTTAACAGAATATTTTTTTAAAAAAAATTCATCTCAAATACAATATATGTGGCTTATTAATTTTAAAAACATACCTGTCTTGTAAATATTTGCAGACTCTTTATGAATCTTTTCCAATCGAATCTGTTCCAATGATTTTATTTCAAAATCTAAAGCCATTTCTGAACTTTTTGCTAAATTGGAATACAAAAGTAAATTTAAGATAAAAAAAATTTTATGTTCTCATAACTAACTTCCTTGTTGCATACATTAATTTCAAGAAGAGAACTTCTGAAATTTAAACAAAACTGATAAACTTTATATGAATTTTAAAAGAAACAAACATTATACAGTCAATTCCTGATTTCAACCTATCTTAAAAGCTTGACTTTATCCAAGCCTCAAAAGTTTGACTTCCAAGCATCATAGTCAGCAAAAATATATCAGGACAATATTTTTTTAAAAAAAATCAGGACAGTAATTGGAACAGTTTATAGATGTGGGATAGATACCAGACTATAGATGTGGGATAGATACCAGACTATAGATGTGGGTTGGATAAATACTCAGTCAGTAGGCATAATTTTTTGACATTTTCAAAGCATATAATGGAGATTGGCCCTAAATTATAATTCTGAGAATAAAATAATTATCTTAAACTTTCAAAAATGTCAGGTCCAGAAGAAATATTTCAAAACTCTATAAATACCAAATAGAGGAGCTACATTGTTACATTAAAAAGGTAATGTAAAGAGGTTTGCATAGTTTTATCAATATAGGTATTAAGTTCAAGGTTTTTCAAGAAGAAGACAGTTGTATGAACTGGAAGAGATTTGAAATTAGCTCAGAGAATAAGTTTAAAATTCATGAAATTTATTGAAACTTAAGTTTTAAAACAAGTTATGTTCATTAATACTAATTTTGTAAATTTAACATAGTTGCTTAAACTAAAACGAATTTCATATCTGAATTTAAAAAGAAATTTTATAATAAAACAATTTCATTTAATCAAAAATAAGTTTAAAAAAAACATGTAATTAGATTAAATTTATTAAATGCTGCAGAAAGCTTCTGCAAAATGAAAAAGATTTTGCCGTTATGAAAGTAGTATTTCCAGTATATAGACTTAAAAACGTGAGAATAAAACAGAACAAATTTTCCTGTTTTTTAAAAAATTTTTTTTCTTTTACAGCACTAGATTTTTTTTCACGTGCTTTATTTGCCAGACTTAAATCTAATTGATATTTAATTAAGTCCATATCAGACACAGGGATATGTACTAAACCTCATAAGACTTGAACATTCCTAAAAATATCTTGAAGCTCTGCAGGATGCTTGAAAATGTTTATGCAATGTGTTGTTGATTGAAATGTTGATGCAATGTGTTGTTGACTGACATGCTGATGTAATGAAGTTAACGTTGATGTAATATGTTTCAAGCTCTGCACGATGACTAAAAGTTTCAACTTAGAAATATTTGTTAATATGACACCGACAGAAATGTTTTCAAGTTTATTTGTAGGGTGGTTGTGATATTCCAAGAAAAATTAAAAACCAGAGCATGAATGTGGCCTATTTATTCTTTGCCAACCTGTACATTAAAGAAACCTCATACTGCAAAAAAGCACTTGTTGAACACCAATAATAAATGATTAATCTTGCTAATAATATAACAAAAATACTTACCTGAAAATTTAGATAGTAAATTACTTCCTCTAATATTTCCAGATTTTACGTCATTTGATTTTACAGGAGTACTTGAAATAGATTCAGCATCTGATTCTAAAAATAAAGTAAAAGATGTCATGTAATTTTCATAACAGTAATAAAATTCTTAAATGCAGGCAAGCCAGAGAAAAAAAAAGAAAAGAAAAAAAGCTAAACCTTAGAAAAGAATTATAAAAATTACAAATTAAACTATATTAAGAATAATAAGTTTTTACAATTTTTAAACAAAATCTTAAATAAAAATTAGTTTCTTTAATAAAAGTTTGAGTTAATTAACTTCAAAATATACTATTCTTTTGATGGTTGCTAAAAAATGCTATATCTAATAAAAAATTCTACATACTATATATAGGAATAGTTTCTTACTAAAAGTAGACATAGAATTACTGGGAGAAGAAATTATCTAAAAAAAATTTTTCTCAGAGTTTTCTTTTGAACAAAGGAGAGAAAAATAATTATTTTAAATTGTTTTTTCACTTATAATAGTCAAGAGTTATAAAAATTTAGAAACAAAATATGAGGTAGAATAGATATGATACTTCAATAACATTTCTATAATTTGTGGATGATCCCACAGGTCAACATTTTAAATTTTTATAAATTAAAAAAAAAAAAGAGTTTAAAATAAAATTCTCATGGATCTGTCTAGGTCCTTTTGTGTGGCACCTATTTTGTGAAAATTTAGACATTATTTGTGAAATTTAGACATTATTGTGTTATTTGTAAAAATTATATTAAAAAGTCAACACAAAAATAGGGTAAGGTAAGAAAATATGTTCAAAAATTATCACAACAAATAAAAATCATTTATGACTGGTAGATTTGTATATACTTTTCCTCATATATTTAAAAATAATTTTGCTATTGTAAAATTTGGGTCTTAAAATTGGATCAAAATTTAAAAATCCATACAAATCATTGTCTATAGTTAAATTTCAACTTGAATTTAATAAAAACAAGCATTTAACAGTACAAGCACTAAAAGTTATTTTGATTAAGAGAACATCTTGGACTTGGTCATACAAAAAAAAAAAATTCCACAGAGAAAAAAATGTTTCATAAAAAAAATAAAGATCTGTTAGAATAACTTTACAATAGTGTTTAAGATAATGTTCGTATGTTTAGAATAATGTTTGAATTTCAACTTCCTGTACAGTTTATAGAGGAAGAGCCTTGTTGCTTCATTTTAAAAAAACTCAGCGAAAAAAAGCTCGCTTTCATATAGTGTAAGCAACCAGTAAGGCTTACCACATTGCACAATTTGACCAAACATGTGCTATTTTTTCGTAAAAGGCAGCTGGTGGTAAAGCTCTTCCTTTCCATAGATTGAAACGAGAACAGGGTGTGCATGAGAACTTGCTTTCTTAAAAATATTTTGTGAAACTGAAGTTTAACCTAAAGTTGAATTTGTGAAGGTACCGCCAAACGTTAGTAAATTTATTTTGGACAGACCCCTGAATCTGATGAAGTGGAATTCTACGAATCCAGGAGAAACTGGAAATTTGAATTCTATGAATCAAAGGAAATATGGAACATCTGTTAAATAAGTAAAAAATAGTGAAAACAAACCTTCATTTTCATCAAAGCTGACAACGAAAGGTTCCAAAGAACTTCGAACAACCTCTTCTTTCTCTATTTTTATGGAAGGATCTTCAGTTTCAATGTTCTCAATTTTGGCAATGGGTGTAGATGAATTGAGAACGGGTGAGGATACTGGTAATATTACTAAAAAAGAATGATTAAAAATAAATCAGAAGATGGGAAAAATGCATCTGATTTTGTTTTGATTTCCAACTAGAGTTTGGCAAAAATATAATTGCTTACAATTATTAATTACTTGCAAGTATGATTAAAACAAATCATAATTTTGATAACAATTGTAATTGTTATTACAATAATCAATTATTGAATTAAATTTCTCAAAATTCTGATTACAACTGTAATGATTACAAGTAATTAAAAGATATGATTACAAGTAAACAAAGTATCATATATTTAGATTACTTTAAATCATATATTTTAATTACTTGTAGGGTAAACCAACCAGTGAAGGAACACTACCCAGTGAAGGAACATTTCATATGTATTGATTAAAAATAAGAATTTGAAAGTTTTTCTTTAGATTTATTGGTAACAATAGTTTACTGCCAAACAATAGGAAGTCATCTAGCAATGTTTTGGATTACCTGGTCAAATAGACTTCTCTGGAAAATTTTTTGAATTTGTTATTATCTCTGCAACACCTTGTTTCGGTGAAAAAATTATAAGGTGAGTGTTTGTATTTATATGTTTGAAGTTATAGTTTTATTTTTCTCTCTGTGAAAAAGAGAATTCAAAATATAGTTATTGAAGTTATGTTTTATTCTTTTTTAGTGTTCCTTTACTGTTTTTTTTTCTAAGTTAATCAAAATAAAAGATAAACTTTAATTTTCTTGTACCTTCAGTGATGTTCTGCATCAAAAGTATGTTAAAAATATGAAAAACAACTTCTAACCAGTGAGGGAACAGTTCCTTTAATGCTCCTTTAACAGCTCCTCATAATGTTCCTTTACTGGGCATAGATTTCCCAGTGAATGAACAGTATGTGTTAATATGTTGACACTTTAATTTTTAATTAATGATTATAAAAAAAAGTTAACATTTTCCAAGTATTTATATGTTCTAATTTCAAGAATAGGCTTGTTTTTAAATATTTGTATGGCTTATAAACTCATAAAGAGCATTAAAAATAATCAAAATTAAGAGTTCCTTTACTGGGTGTTCATTCACTGGTAAGAGCTGTTCCTTCACTTGGTCCTCTTACTACTTGTTATTTGAACCTCCAAGACTTTAAAACAATATTACGAAAGTTCTCTGCAATTTTTTTTTACACAATTTGCAATTAGTAACAAATATGTTGGCACTGTCATTTAACTAAAATTACGAATTTTGAAATTAATATGATTTTTTAAAAGGCAAGCGAAGCTTAAGTGTTCCTTCACTGGTTAACTTACCCAACTCATGAATACATGTAATGAAAAATCTTGATTACTTGTAATCACGATTATAAAAATTTATGATATAGTAGTAAATATCTATCGTCAATTACAGCTGTAATCAGTTTTTTCTTAATCAAAAATTTCATACATAATACAGAAAACTCACAGTTATCCATCATTGGATTAACGAAATTATCATGCATTGGATTTTTTTAGGAAAATAACTTTTTCAAAATATTTTTGGAAAGTTTATATACCATTAAAAAATTTTAATGAAAATAAATAGAAATAAAATTTTGATAAATTCATTTTATTTAACACAATTTTTAAATAAACAAGCATATGTAATAAAAACAATAAAAATCAAAATATATTGAAAAAGTAATAATTCATTGAAGGTCTCACTTGCAAACTTAAAGAATTCAAACTAATAAATACACAAATTGACATACAATGTTTTTTTAACAAGGAAAAATTTTGCAAAGCAACAAATTTTTTAATAACGAAAGATTTGTTAGGATTTTTTTAGACCAAAGGTTGCCTGAATTTCCCCCAAAACCTCATTTGCTTGATTGGACACATTCTGCCCCCTTGTATACAAGTAATAAAAAATATTGAGAATCAAAAAAATTTTTTTTACAAGTTAAGATCAGACAATTATTGGGGACCACTTTAGTTTTATTTAATATAATATATCTGCCTAAATTGAGGCATATAAGAATTAAAATTAATATTTAGATTGATAATAACTAACAACTCATAGTTGTTGTCTGCTATATAAACTGAATAGTTATAAAATAGCAAATAATATTGATCTTAAAGTATTAAGAGTGCCATGCTCTTAGAAAAGTCAATTAATAGTCTCCATAATTTTGGCTATATTTTTTTAACATTATATATATTGTAAATCATAATTATAATAGTATTTAATGAAAGTATTGTGCATGACTTATTGACAGAGTTGATCAGTTCGGACTTCTCACGTCTAAATCCAAGGCCTAAATATGACAGATACACACATAAATATATCTACAAATTAAACTCTCGAGTCAAAATAATTTCCATCCACTCATAAATAATATATTCATGTTTCAATATAAATCATCTGAAGAAAAATCTTATGCTTAAATTTAAAAAATAAATAAAAAATCTTCATTAATTGACAATTTTGAAGAAAGGGATGGATGGCAAAATTAAGGACTATTTAATAAAATTTTTTTTTTTCTTCAAAAAGTGAAAAAAATCCTAAAATATTAATTTTTCCAGGTTTCCCCTAAGGTGTATGAACCTTGTATTAAGTAAAAGATTGCAAAGAAATTATTATGTCAAATTTATAAGGTATATCAGGGCGTGTAGCCACATTTTTCAACAAATAAAACCACCTTTTAAGTACTTTTTAATGACTCAACACTTTCCAAAGAAAAGATGAAGAAAAAATCATAATTAGGATCTGTGCAGTTATAATTTTTTTTTGATCGTTTTAAGTTCTTAATTTATAAACATTAAATCAATAAAATTCAAAAACATTTTCAAAAACTTTACAAAATCATGATAAAAAACTAGTTTCTGATAAAAGTTGCAGAGAAAATTGTGAAAATCATGCATTTTTTTGTAACTCAGATCGACAAGGCAAAGAAAAAATCTCTTTTTCAAAGATAGAAAATTAAGCACTTTTTACAATCACTGAATATTTACAAAACGCAAATAAAAAATAAGCACTTTTTAAAAACCCTGTATATAAATAAGAAGACTAGAAAATCAAACAGTTTAATTTATCTTTAAAATTATTCAGATTCAATTCCATTATTCAGAAAAGAAATTGTCAATAAAGTTAATATAGTGTCAGATTAATGTGATAGCCGTAATTTTTTGAATAATTAACATTTAATTTTTGAATTTTTTATTCCTTTCTTTTTTTTACAAATTTATAAGAAATTACATTTCAACCTAAGAGCAAAACAGATTATCATTAACTGAATTTCAGAAACAAAATTGTTAGAATCAAGGATTAGCACCAAGACTACAAGTAAACAAAAGAGAAGAATGATTCATATACAAATGAATTTCTTAATATAGCATTTCCCCTCCCAATTTCTTGCAATGAGGTCATAAATTTTGGGGTCATTTTTGATGTGTGTGTCATAGCTTCTGCTAAGCAACAACATAATAATACACATGTCTAAGTTACAACATGATACTTAAGCAACAGCATAAGACTGTCACTACAGAAGTTGTATTCATTTCAATTAGAATAAATAAAATAATCTTACACTCCTGATTCTCGTTGCACGCTTTTGGTTTATAATGGAAGAAAACACAGTGGGGCTTTCTACATCCGCCAGGTTTATTTTCCCAGTAACATGGAATGCTTTTCCTATCAATCTGCAAGACAGAAAATATTTCTTAGTTTTCTCTCAGTAGAACGATAGAGATCCCTAAAATCATCTTTATTTTATAGCAAGGGAAATATTGCTAGAATTTTAAAAACATATAAAATATTAATGTTATACAGTTAATTAAAGTACCTATATATTTCCTACTCTTTACAAAAAAATAAATAAAATAATAACAGATGCCGACATGGATAGGAAAAAATCCAGTAAATTTTACAAAATATAAATTTCATGAAAATTGTTGTATATAATGTACTAAATATTTTACACACAGGGAATTTTAGGGATTTTTAAAGTCATCAAAATAGAAAAACTGCAGTATTTTCCAGTTTTGACTGTCATAAAATATACTTGAAATGTTACGTATTATGTTTACTCATAATTTTGAATAGTAATAGGCATTTAATTCAAAGATAGTTTAAAGATTTTTTTTACTTATTTTAAAAAGGGAGTTTTGAATAAAAATAGACTGCACTTTTTAGAACAAAAAATGTTTTAAAACGATTTCTACAAATGATGCTCGTTTCATAATGTATTAGTAATATGTATTTAAATATTCAAGTAAGTAATAATTTGTGCAAAAATTCTATTTCAATAGGGAATTTTTTAGGAAACTTACTAAATTTTAGGGAATTTTCTGAAATGCATGAAAATTAGGAGAGTTTTTATTAAAACAGTAGACTACGAGAAACTGACAAAATTTGGTAGTCTACTGGAAAATCCAGTAAAGCTGAAAGCTATGTAATAATAAAATCTGAATAAAAAAGCTATGCCCATGTTACCGAAGAACTCAAGTTATGNAATAGGCATTTAATTCATCAAAATAGTCAAAAAAAAAATTTTTTTTAATTAATTTAAAAATAGAGTTCTGAATTAAAATAAATTTAAAATTTTAGAACAAAAAGTTTAGAACTAATTTCTATAAAAGAGGTTCGCTTCATAATCTATTAGTAGTACTTATTTAAATATGGAAGCAAGCAATAGTCTGTACAAAAATTCTATTTAAATAGGTTCTTTTTTAGGAATCTTACTCAATACTAGGGAATTTTCTAAAATATACAAAAACCATTAGAATTTTAATTAAATCAGTAGACCAGGAGAAATTGACAAAATCCAGTAATCTATGTTTTTGGTATCTTTATGACCAAAACAGAATTGTCTGATCAACCCGATATTTTACAGCCACTTTGCAACCAATATAGGCAATATATAGAAATGTCAGGATCAATATTAAAAAATGCAGACATCCCAATATTGGTCCCTCGGTGCATGTTCATATAAAATCCATATTAAGCCAATTTTGAGCCAAAATGGAGTCAAGATAAAATTGTCAATAGGTAATAAGTTTAGACATTTTTTAAAATGCATTTATAAAATACAAGGTTTTAGAAAAATTTTAGTATATATGTCTAAATCTAGAAGAAAATGAAAAATTAATAAATAATGCATCACAAAAAATAACACTTTTAAGAAAGTCATAGTCATAAATTTCATTTTCCAGAAACAAAACAGTGAGCAGAACATAAATAGAACTAACTCTACTCTCCATGTGCCTGAATTTGCAATCACTTCGAAGGCAGCGACCTTCTTTCCAAAGGCTGCATACTCTTTCAGTACCCAAGGCCTGCTCACAATGTCTATAAGGACATGCATCTCCCTGCAATATAACACAATAGAATAAATAAACAACAATAAACACAAAATTGCTCATCATGTCAACGAGCTTTTTATTCTGGAAATGCTTGCTGAAGAAAATGGACAAATGTTCTTTTTTACAAAGAATAAACTAACAAATTCATGATGTGATGTCATCGATTTGCCAAAATCATTCTGTACTTTAACCCTTTAACAATCGGTTAATTTTCAAGAAAACGGCCATAAAAGTGCCTATTTTTTTAGCCCTGAAAATTTGATTAGTGCTGACATCTAGTTTAAAATAAACTAACTATCTACAACTACCTTAAAAATATCCTGGTACTGCCATCTGGTGTGTAAAATGAGAAATAAAATGTTTTGGAGGCAAAAGAAATGAATTAGTTATGTTCTTATTGGCACGTTACTACTGAACACTCCAGCCTCGAAATATCATGGGAGCGAAGAATAGAGGGTGAAACCTCACCCAGTCATTTTCACTGGAGAGAGGAGGAATAGGTTTAAAAAATAAAAAAGACTATATGTCAACAGTATTTTTTTTTTCAAAACTATCACGGATTCTATAAATTTATAATAGTGGTATTAATCTTATGTAGTATGAATTTATATTTTTAAAAATAATTATATCATTTAGAGTTTTGAATACGAAAAATTACATGTGTAATCTAGCCAGGACTACTCTGAAGTCCGGGATTTCGCATCATAATGATCATGCTTAGTGTTTGAAAAAGTAAAAAATTCCTCACTTAGTTGTTAAATTTAAGTTGAACATTCAAAATGGTAATAACAAAAGAAAGAAATACGTTATACGGGCGTTATACGGGAACACAATCACCCCCTGGTATTGCAATCACCTCCTAACTGCAATGTTTTAAATAAAAAATATCATTAAATAAATATTTCTTCATTTGTTCAAAAATGGCCCAGGTATGTTCAAAGGTCCTTCCTTGTGGGACATGATTGATTAAAAATTTCAAAACTTTTTATTTATTGAGCTTTTTTATTTCCATTTAAATTTATTCCATTTATTTTTCAGTTTTATATTGAAGAAAAGTATAATTTTTTTTTGATGTGTTTAATTTACACTAAATAAATTTTAGATAAGATAAATACAAACTTTTCTAAAAAGTGTTCAAAGCGAAGGTAGTAGGTTCCACGAAGATAAATTTCTCCCAATACTTGATCAGGAGTTCCCTTGTCTAATGAATAAGGGTCAAAATTACGAGGCTATGGAAAACAGTAGGAGTCATAAACCCAAAAACACTGGGTCGGCTGTTCAACAAAGTTATAATAATATAATACTAGGTGTTAAAGCAGGTGTGGAACAAAACTTTACATGAAAGATATTTTGTTTTTACTATGTTGATATCTTCTGCCCAGTCTTTTTTAAAATGATCTTGTTTTTTATTAATTTGAGAAAAATCTTTTTTTAATTTTGTGATTCCGAAATTAATGTGCTCTGCAGAACAATGGAACCTGCATTAGCCACAAATGCCTAAGGACAAATCCAATTTTTTTCTTCAAATTTTTACTTTTAAATTAGCATGTAACTCAAAACTAGATTGATTCATTTTTGTATCATCAAACAAAAATACAACAAGACATATTTTTAATTTAAGATTACCACTTCATCAAAGCAACAATACAATTTCAAAGCAAACAAAAACAATTTAAACTTACTTTTGTGCAGGAAGAGTAGAAATAAAAATAACAATCAGAGAGAGTTTTGAATTTTTCTTCCATGTTGTCAGTATTAGTGCCCCAGTTCCTTTGCTGTCAGCTATATGAATTGATAAAAATAATGTTGGAATTATTCCCAATTTTTTATTTTATTTTCCTGAAACAAAAGCGATTAAATTATGTCTGCAAAACAAATAACTTCCACGGTTGAATAGCTTAAATTTCTTTGTTTCTTCATTAAATTAAGCTTAAAAAATATTAGAATACTGATAATTTGTAATGCATATGGTGCATAATAATGCAATGATAAATAGAATAGTTTTAAAGCAGCTCTATAGTTTTCTTTTTCTTGAACAAAATGTATCAGTAGATATTCACCATTAAAACAAAGTCACACCATTATCAGTAGATATTCACTATTATTTTGCACATTATTACATTGTAAGGTTTCATTGAATTGAGGAAATTCTTCCTAGACACAATGATTGAAAAAACAAACAAATATTGTGACCAGGTGAGCCAATGTATTTAAACCAATGTAATTTAAATCTCGGTTTAAACAAAATGTTTTTTTTTTAAAAAAAAATTCATATAATATAATTTTAATGATGAAAATCACAGTATTCTAATGTTACAGGTTACTATTATTATCGAAGAAAAAAGTAACAATAAAATAATTAAGACTATTAGAAACATTTTGTTAAAATGCAGTATTATAATAAAAACAGAAGGGAAAAAAAACATTCTTAAAACGAAATAAACTCAGCCAAAAGAGAGCCAAGGCTTACTGTGCCCATCTCAGTTTTCATGACCTTGGGCTCTGGGGTGCAGAAGCAGATGTTTTGGTTGGGTCGTCAGCCGAACGTGGAACCCCAAGTGCTTAGTTCCCAAGAACACTAGGTACTCATCTTATCTAGCCACTGAAGGTATAAAAGTCAACCTTGCCCCGTCCAAGTACCAAACCCAGGACCTGTGACACAAAAAAGAAGATCTACCACTTGGCCGCCGGGCGTTAAAACAACAAAATTGCTTTAATATAATTTTTAAGAAAAATCAGCAGTACAAAGCTTATATTTAAATTTAAAGTAATCTAGTTTCAAGTCTTCGAATTTGGCTTTTCTATTTGTCTATCAGAATATGAATTTGCAAGCTTAAGAACTTAACAAATATGTGTAAAACTAATTCCAAAAATGTGTAGGAAAAAATATGATTTAAGACTTCTGTTTATTAAATCTACTTAAATTGCAGAAAAAAACTTTAATGTAAACTACTTAATCGAATACTTAATCAAACACTCAGCCCACCGAATATTCGGCTAAGAGTTGGAATAGTGGTTGAATATTTGCCATAACCCTAATATCTAGTTTAGTACATGAAAATCTAATCATTAGATTAAAAGTTAACCAACTGAAAATTTTTTTTGGCTCTCTGTAAAAAGGTAATATAATAAATAGGCTCTCTGTACCATTAAAAAAATGAAAGGAAAGCAAGTATTAGAGTAGAATATTTGCTACATCATTACAAAAAAAAAAAAAAAATAATTGACACCATTTCTTATAGAGTACATTCTAATAATGCTTAGTTAATATGCAGTAACACCTAGCAATAATTTCAATAACTATAAATTACACCACACAAAATTTTAAAATTAATAAATAACGTAGTGAAATGTATTTGCATAATTAGATTACATAATAAAAAAAAAAACTATAAGACTTTGTGAGGTAGTATTGTAGACTCAATTACAAAATAATTTCAATTTCCAACAGAAGTCAACAGTTAACTTTTTCGTTTTAAATAGAAGTTCTAACTTTAGATAGTCATATTAATAAAAATACTTTGCTATGAAACATACTCCTGGTTCTTACAGAAATTTCATTATGGAATTTAATGAAGAAGATATTACTATATTACAAAACTAACTAACGTTTGAAAGAATCATTGGCATACGAAAAGTAATAGTTGTTTTTACAACAATAAAAAGTATTTCATAAACATTTGAAATTTTATTTCCGTTTAAATTGAACAAAATAAATTATCCAAGGACACGGAAACATTTACTAATTATTTAACTTATGATAAAAATTCATCAAACTGAAAAGTAATAAAAAATAACAAAACCAGATATTTACAATACTAACTCAATTTCAATTTAGGAAACAGTTCTTTCTAGAATTTAGATAAAAATGTAAATAGACAACGTAATTTAAAATTGATCTATTGATTTAATCAAGCACGTCTTTCATTGCTTACCTCTTTCTAGAAAAAGTCGCAAGCTACTGCATTAGATGTTGCTTATTATAGCCGTTTAAATCTGTTTATTCGCGATAGCAACACTCGAATACGCCATCTGGGGAGAAGTACTGTTCCATGTTTTGAACCTCCCCTCATCTTCTCAGTTGTATAGGAATGTACGATGACATTTCCCCCCTTCTTTTCTAATTAAATTATCAAAAATATTTTTTAAAACTTCCACTTTGCTTTCTTTGAGAACTATGTTCAATGTAGTTTTCAGTTCCATATAGTTTCGTAGCTAAGAAGTTTTTAATCTATTTGAAAACCATGACAGAAACTAACGTACTTCCTTCTTCCAATACTTTCTACACGCTAATGGTGAAAGCATGCAAAGTGTTGCCTAGGTACATGGTGGAGCCTCAAGTGTGCTTGAGATAGAGCCATGGAATTGGAGATGCGCTTTGAAACATGTGATTGACTTGCTGGACTTGAACAACCGTGTGTTGGGTGTCAGATCCATAACCACAAAAAAAGTTTTTCAAAAAAGAGATTGGTCTGCCTCATATTCGTCGAGTGAAATTCGAGGGACGCATAATAAAAGTGTGTTTTCACAAGCACAAGTTGCAGTAAAATTTGCCTGTACTGCCACAGAAGGCGAGAACGATGACTGTGGAGCAACTCTGGGCTAAAGAGGGAACTGCTGTAGAGTGTTTGTACGAAACGAGGAATTTATTGAGCAAGATGTTTTGGAATGAACTGCACAACGCACCCGAAATCAATCGGAGCGAATATATTTAAATGAAACACTGATTTGAAAAGCCTCAGATTTTTTTAATGACAAAAATGGTTTAAAAGCTATCGCCGAATCTAGCTAGCTCTATTTTAATTTTTTGCTAGTCATGGATGCGTGTTTACAAATCATTTGAATGTACTTTGGGCTCGACTGGATTTGAGATGCTCTGCAATCACAACCAACATTGCATTTTTCGTCCATTTGATTAACATGCAAAACAATTCCTTGAAATTGCTTTGCAACGTGGAGTTCTTTCGAAACATTTCTTGAGATAGTCTGGAGTAAACAGGTTCTTTGACGTCACAGCGGATGCATTTCCTTCCCGAGAAGTATAAGAGGAGGTGCGATTCAGAGCTCCAGCATCATTCATTCCCGATCGAGATTTCACTGAGTACGGTTGTTTTATAACCAAGTTCAAACTATCATGTATTCTCACTGTTCCGGAAGGGGAGGTAAGACTATGTCTTCTTCTTCCACTAAGAGCAGAGAACCTCCAATTATCTATTCCAACTGGCGGTTGCCTGATGTAAAACCAGGCAGCATCTACGAAGATTGATATGGAAGATTCGTAAAAGTCCACTGGGCCTCTAGTCATTATCTCGAGACCGTATTTCTTGAAGAAACAAATCAAAGATCCTAAACCACCCATGCCTGACACGCCGAGCTCTACATTGGAAAGCCCCACTACGAATCCAGAGGACGGAGAACAAGTCTCAGAACCTAATTGTGTCGATGCCCCAACTGAGCCTGAACCGATGGAAGAGGCGAGAGCCTCATAAATCTCAACAAAAATTGATCCTGATTCTAACAGAACGGAGATGAGAAGGAAAAAGAAGAGAAAGCCCTCTGCCTTAACTTCCGGATCCCTCCCAACGCCAAATTCTCAGATGCCTGAATCTAAAAAAGAGATCTCCACTAATGATAAACCTAATGCAATCACGAGAAATAGAAAATTTCTCGTTCGTGGACTCCCAATAGACTTTGATTTCAGTAAAATTACTCTAGAAATAGAGAAATTAAACATCGAAATCATCAAGATCGTCCAGTACCAGAAACGTGAGGGCGGGGTCTATAGGCTCTACCCACTTTTCCAAGTGATCGTTAAGGAAGTGACAAATCAGCATCTAGTATTCCACATCGAGCGGTTCCCGGTCAAAGTGGAAAGATTTCACGGCGTCAGAGGACCACTCCAATGCTTTAGATGTCAGGCCTACAGCCATGCTCAGAGATCATGCTCGGCGCCGCCGAAAGCCATTTCTCCTACGAGTGCCAAAAGAAAAGGACTACTCCTCCCAAATGTTGCAACTGCAACATGGAACACGCAGCTAATTTTTCTGCGTGCGAGGCCCGCCCCAGGAAAAAGTTTCAACAACTCTCCGACTCGTATCCATTATCAAAGAGCTACAGGAGCTCTTAAGGAATGAAGAAGCCATCTCGCTACTGAATTCTATCCTACAGGGAAAGACCTCTGAACTCTGCTGTTCCACTTTACTCCAATGACTGTTTACTATCAGTTCGTTAAATTACTCTTTACTCCTAGCATCTCTCGGACCTTCGCTCCGAACTTTTCACACAGATGAACGAGATAAAGCCATTAAATTGGCTGGTGCTCAGATAAAAAATTCATATAGGTATAGGTAGGTAGCTCCAGCATATTGCTTTCCTTTCTGCTCAGAGTCATTTCCAAATTATTCAATCATGTCTTTTGTATGAGGTGTTTTACACCTTAATGGTTATGAGATGGGTGGCCAGTTTCGCATCAGCGAACTGGCTGCCGTTTCATTGTCGGACGATAACACAACGATTGGAAATGTGCCCAACACAGCTACTACCGCTTACATTGATTTCCAGTCTTTCAAACGCCAAACGAGTTTCCGTTGGATCGGGAAGACGTTAGAGACATCCTGATCGATGCGTATCTGCTGTTGCGCAGGAGCAACACTGGCAGAAGTTCTCTAGCAGTTAAAGGAGCTGAAGCGGAGAGCATTGTCATATGATTGGGCATACCCTACGTTAATCTGACGATATAGGGTTGTCCAAGAGCCATCAGACTTTTTGATCGATGATGTCAAGTCGTGCGGTCATCATGCCTATGGCACGGAGATGGCTTGCAGTTGCGTCAAAGTCAT